TCCGTGTGCCTACAAACAAGTCCATGTGCAACCAACCCTCAAGCACCAGCTGAAGGCATTTAATTTCTGGGTAGCTAGGCCACTTTTTAACCTGTTTCCCCCTCTTTTCTCTGACTCAGTCACTTATTCCCGAGGTAAGTTTGCAGCACAAGCAGAGCCCAGCCAGGTCTCTGGACTCTTCCCCCTCTGACCTGGCGATCCGGGCTCTAATGAAGCCTTCCAGCAATTCAATCAAAACCTCTTTTAAGGAAGATGCTTGATTAAGGGCCTGCGAGACCTTGAAAGTCAGTCCGGCAAGAGGAAGGTAATTAATTTTTTTTTAATCAGTGGGCACTGCTCTCAAGGTCTAGAGAAGAGTCAGCAGCAAACTCCCTGCCAGAGGCACAGCGGAGCCCTGGCACGTTACGGGGACCCCAGGGGAAGTGCTGGCAATGGGGCCTCTCATCCTTAGCTGGGTGGGAGCAGGCTGGGCCATTCCCCTGGGGCAAAAGCACTTTGTGCTTTCCCTCCTTGACACGAGAAATGCTCATCAGCTCTTCCCTTCTCTCTCTGTCCCAAAACGGGAGATGCACCAAGCCTGGGATCAGAGGCAGCACCAGGCTCTGGAGAAAATTCCTCAGCATCCCTCGCTGTCTCACAGGGAAGACCCTGACAATGGGATAAATCAGCTCAGACGTTAAGGCTGGAGGCTTTTCCCTGGCAGATGCAAATGATTCTGCAACACTAGCCTCAGCTTTTGCTTTCTTCTCCATCAGCTGGCACAGATCTGGGGATGCTGGGCAGGCAGAGTTAATCTGGCCTCGTTTGTGATTACAATGAACTCTTGTATTTCATGGCCTGCATCCTAAACCTGCTTTCTAATTCCCCAAGGGAGAGGGATTTACACTTTCAATTTTATGTCTAGTTAGTTAATGGTCCATTACTGTCAAAAGGATCAGTAGCTAGAAGTTAAATCCTACAGGATTTACGATAAGGAAGAACCAAAGGCTGCAGAAGAAAGCATGCCAGGCAGGGGACACGGGGAACAGAGAGCCCTCACCATCCCAAAACAACCCTCTAGAGAAAAGTCAGCTCCTCCTTGCCCCACCCCACAAAAGTTTTAGGTTTTTGCCCCTACCTAGAGCTGAGCTGACGTTGCAGACCCTGCAGGGTTTGGCCCCCAAGTCACTGGCCTGTGTTGCTCTGCGACCTCCAAAACCTGTGATATTCCCACATTGCCCTGACCCCGCTCCAGGCAGGTAGCTGCAGGTGGACCGCTACATCCCAAACTACATGGGAAATGGTGTGCCCAACACAGCAGGATCCCAAGCTCTGTTTGGGTAGAAAACCATGCAGCAGGTGGCTGTCGCTACCCCATAGCACAGCAGTGCTTGCTGTGGGTAACCAGAGGCTGGGAGCAGCACAGGAGTTTTGGCAGGACTGGAATTGTTTTGCTTACTCATGTTGAATTCTCACCCCTCTCAGCACAGAGATACGGAAAGGTCTTGGCATCCTTAGCAAGATAAAGGTTTCCGTGAAGTACACACAAGCCTGCCAGAAGCTGAAAATTGGCATCCCTGCTCCTGATCCCATCCCAGGAGATGCATGGTGTTTCAGCTGGCAGAGTGTTGGTATTACAGCAGCTGCACAGAAAGGTCTGTCAACATCACAGAGCTTGCAGTGCGAGGCTTTATAACCTGCTCAGAAGAACTCCAGGATGAAACAAGGCAGGCGAGGTCCCCACGCACCCCAGGCGGGGAAGTGCTATTTTCTTTATTTTGCAAACACGGAAACTTTCCACTGCTTGCAGTTATTTCTGAGTTGTAAAACGGTGCCAAGGAGCTGGGGTAGAAGGGAGACGGGAAAACACCTTTAGGCAACTGAGAGCAGAAGTGGTCGTGTTTAACAAGAGGCTTGAAAAGCTTTTAGAGGAACAAGTGGCTTGGCCAGGCAGGGCACACCACACAGCTCGGAGGGCTACAGCCAGGGCAGGGTCCTGCTCCTCCCCAGCCAGGTCCATACCTGCAGGAAAAGGGCAAGTTGGACTTGGAAAGACGATCCAGGAGAGCTAGCAGTCGGATGCCAGCAGCCTTGCTAGGGACAGCAAATAAAACAAACTGCATCCCATAAGGCAAATATAGGAATGCTGCTTTATACAACCCAGGAGACCAGGCCACCACACAAAGACCAGTCCCAGGAGACCAGGCCACCACAGGACCCAGCCTGTTCCAAGCCCAGCGAGGCTGGCAGCAGTGCAAAAAGCAGTGCCAGGTCCCCAAGCGAAAGGCAATGCTACCCTCTGGTGCTGCCAGGCGGGATGGCTGCTGCCTGCTGCTCACCGCACGGAGCACAAGGGCTGCAAATAATGATGCTACAGGGGGCTGCTTCCCACACAAGCTGACCTTGCACCATAGAGCTTGACTACTGGGAGAGCTGTAGCACCTTGGCCTCCCTAAAATGCTCTAGGGAAAGATGCCCAGCAGCACTACTCCTCTCTTACCATCCCAGGTCACCCTGCCCTGGAAAGCCATGAAATGCATGCAGGGAGGCTGAGCCCAAACACACCTGCACAGGGCAAGGAGCTCTTCTCTTCCCCTTCCCCTATTAAAACTCTTCCTGACTTCTTTCAGCTTGTTTCGTTGTGAATTTCCTCAGGCTTCTCCGCTGCAAAAGCCATTAGTGTGGTATAAGGGGAAGGGAGGAAAACAGGATCTGCATCCAAGTCGGTGCTTTGTAGGAGGATAAATGGGGACTTCACACTTAATTTATATTTACACCACTTTGCTTTGTGTGAATGGAATTTTTTGTGATTATTTATAATGTATTTTCAGCAACGTTGCCCTGGTCTCCCAGCACAGGGAGGAACTGATGCATTAAAAGAGGATGTGGCTTGGTTTGGTTAGCGCGGCGGTTAGTGCGGGCAGGGCAAGCGGGGGGCCCATCGCCGCTCTGCTGCAGCTGCCTCTCCCTTCGGTGCTTGTAACCTGCCCCAGCACAGGCGTCTCCTGTTCTGCAGAAGATGATAGTGCCGATAAATTATTCTTTACAGAACTAAGAGAGGCCTCGAGATTAACTCCCCTTGTCCTTATGGGGGACTTCAACTTGCCAGACGTTAACTGGGAGTGCCACACGGCTGACACGAGCAGTCCAGGAGGTTCATGAAGCACCTAGACGATAACTTCTTGGTGCAGGTGCTAACAGAGCCAACTAGGAAAGGTGCCCTCCTAGACCTGTTGCTAGAAAACAGAGAGGGTCTGGTGGGAGATGTGGTGATTGGTGGCCGCCTCGGTCATAGCGACCATGAAGTGGTTGAGTTCAAAATTTACGGTGACAGAAGGAAAAGTGCCACCAAAACCTCATCCCTAGATATGGGGAAAGCGGACTTCAGGCTGCTCAGGGAACTAGTCAGCAAGGTCCCCTGGGAAACTGCTCTTGAAGGCCTCGATGTCCACCAGTGCTGGTCATTCTTTAAGCGATGCCTCCTAGAAGCACAAGATCAGGCAATTCCTAAATATCGCAAGTCAGGCAGGCGCGGCAGGAGGACGGCGTGGCTGACCGGGAACATTCTGATGGAGATTAGGCGGAAACAGAGAGTGTTTTGCTACTGGAAGGAGGGCCGAGTGTCATGGAAAGAATACAGGGATGCTGTTCGTGTTTGTAGGGAGAAAATTCGTGTGGCTAAAGCACACCTAGAGTTGAAGCTGGCTGTGTCTGTGAGAGAAAATAGAAAGGGTTTTTTTAGATATGTGAATGGAAAAAGGAGAACTCCTTCCAACTCAGGATATTCTATGATTCTATGATTTATTTACTGCTGTTGTCGTAAACAGCCGATTACTTTGTGACGCTTAATAAATCCCCTTTTTGTTAAGTGTATGTTTGTAAGCAGAGCTTTCACCTGTGTCTGTGTTGTGCGTGATTATAGCTGCAGTGCTTTCTTCTGACAGTGTGTATTTTTCATCCAGTTCCTGCCCTACCTTCATCATTTCACCTGTCTCTGCCTCCAATTTCCACCAACAGAACCTTCCCTTTTCCCTTTGGATGCCAGTAGCTTGCTGAAATACCTAGAAGTACTTCAAGTTAAGAAATAGCAAGCAAGAAAAGGAACCTTAGGAATAAAATACCAAACATATTTCCCCTGGGTGACAGCCACGGATTCCACTGACATGTATTTTAAGGAATATGTTTTCTCTGCTACTTCCCCTAGCCAGGGTCATGCTGCTAAACATCACTGTCAGAATCTCTTGCCCAGCACTCTTTTTGACTGAAATCTGACTCTATTCAAAACAGAGGTTCATAACATTGAAAAAACCTATTCTGTGGAAAAATGGCACGTTATGTTTTGACTGGCTCATTACGAACACCCTCAGCTGCTTGCATAGTAAAGAACCTGTCATGATTGATTTGATCCTTGCAACAAAAATCCGAGAAATATGCTTGTTTAAAAGGTTTCTAAGCCAGCATATGAACTTAAATAGCAATTTCTTGGATTTTTCATATAATCTCATGATTTATAAGATTATTTCAGGACACGGGATATTTCAGAAGACTCAGTTTTAGTGATGAAGGAGAATATTTTGGCAATCAGACTGGCCAGTACTTTGTATCCAGGAATTTCAAAGCAATGAAAAGTACAAATCCTGGTGTAAGGAGAAGAAAGAGTACGCATTTTTATTTTTTTTCTCCCCATGTTTTTCTTTGCACAGGAAGGGCAGAAAAATGGGCTTTCTTTCTAAGTCATCTTTTCAAAAAGCACCAGGGAGACCACTACAAAACAGCAATGACTTTCTGTTTATGCACTTTACAGTAACAAGGCTTTTCCATGTAAAGGGTCTAAAATACTTTGCTCAGAATACAGCTCCAGGACAGGAAAAAATGTGAGAGTTAATGGGTTTGCTCAAGAAACCAGGCTGGGCTGCACCTGTGCTCTGTTAGTTGCCCCCCAGGTGCTGCCCATGATTGTTCCTGGCCCCAGGAAGGATCTGCGTCCCTATAAAAAGCTTCCCAGGAACTATGGGGAGGTTTCTGCTTGTGCTGCAGCCTGGTGCAGGGAGCTGAGAGGTGCTGTAAGGGTCCCTGCTGTCTTCAGGATTACAGCTTCAGAGGGCAGCAGGTGCTTGGCTGGGGCTAAATGTTTTAAGTGGTGAGAGTCTTAATGTCTGTTTTGGGGTTAGGAGCTTATAAATAAGGCTGTATTTTAATTTTCTAGTGACCCAGGGTAGGAAGGGTGCTTTGTTCAAGTTCTCTAGCTCTCAGCTCCTAGCTGCAGTGCTGGTGGGGCTCGGTGGTCCTGCAGGGAGCTGCAGAGTCCCCTTGCTTCTTCCTATCTCCAAAAACCTGTGGGGGAGCTGGTGAAGGCTGGGGAGACGCAGACATGGTGTGTCCAGCAAGTAATGTAATAAAACGTAATGCAATAGCAATGTAATAATGTAATAAAAGCCCGGAAAGAGCACTGCTGAGCGGTGCTGGCGGCACAGAGCAGCACACCATGAGATGTTCCTCCCGTCTGCTGGCAAGCGTGATGCTGTTTGTGCTGGCTGTGTCAGCTGCAGGAGAAGAGATGATAGCCAAACTGGTGTAACCTGCTGGGGTGAAGCTTCTTCCTTTTAAGCTAAAATACTGGAGTGCACCTGAATCAGCAGAATGGGCTGGTGTGGGTTCAGCATCTCCAGCCAGGCAGCAGGCACCACGGTCTGGGTGCGTGATTGCAGCCCCCCCAACATCAGCTCAACTCAAAATGCCAGTGGTTTAGTGCAGGAAGATTCCTGAGTGAGCTCGGGAGGTCCTGTTTAGCCTTGTCTGGAGTTCATTTTTAAGCTCATTGGCATTATAAACCTGAGTTTTCAGTCCCTGTGATTGAGAGCTCCAGGCATCTGAGCACCTCACCCTGCAGCTGCATGGACGTCCTGCCCCCTGCCTACCATTGATCCTCCCCTTTTCAAAGCCTCAGTGTGATCCTTTTTCCTCCCTTTTGTGCCCAGAAGGATGTGATAGAATAGCAGGAACCCAAATGCCACCTCAATATTCAAGGTATGGTCTCATTGTGTACATTTTTTCCCCTTCTGTCTGAATGAGCCCAGGGTGTTGCACGCAGTGGTCTCCAAAGTCCTGGTGCCTGTGTGGGCTGGAGGTTGGTGGGGTTCAGCTCTGGTGGCTGTCCCCTGCCCTTAAAATGGTTGTGGTAGCAGGTCACATCCCTGGGAGGGTTATTTATAAGGTTGTAATTGGTCAAGGGCTTCTTTAGCAGGAAAATGGGTATTTTCCATTGAGAACCTCTGTACAGGTAGAAGGATCAGAGAAATTAAAAAAAAAAAAAGCCTAAAATATTTTTTTTAAAAGCCCAAAAATGCATAGGGAACAGTCTTATTTCCTTAACTTTCATGGTTATTTCCAGCCACTCGTTCCTGCACGAAGCAGCACGCTCCCTTTGGAGCCGTTCCTGGCAGGGGGATCGCGCTGTGGAAGCGTTTGTTCTGGGAAAGCAGCGGCACAAATGTGGAAAAGATTAAAGCGGAGGCTTTTACGTCAAAATCATCTGAAGTGGGCATGGGTGGTTTAAAACTCGGGGAAATCGCTTCGGAGCAGATAATGCTTATTTTTTTTGTCAGGAGGGGAATTAAAGGAGAGGCCTGGACCTCTGGTCTCAAGCTGGGCCCTGAGGGTGTGTGGGAGGCCTTGGGGTGCCCGGGGGGGACTGTGGGGCCCCACTTTGCCCCATGGGGCTCCCAGTAGGGTGGGATGGGGTGCCTCCATCCCCTGAGGGTGGATAAAGCAGTGGCACTGCCACCCTGTGGGCTTGGGGGGGCTTCAGTCACCCTTGGGTGCAGCATGGCCCCATGGCAGGGGGGAGGATTGGGGGCACACCAGCGGTTAATTTGGGGGAGATTCTGGTTTTTTGGGGGTTTTGAGGGAAAGTGTGAGGTAAATGAGATGAGGCAAGGTGAGGTTGGTAGAGGTGAAAGGCTAATTTAGAGGGAATAAAGGTGAAATTTGTGCTTGGGGGGGGGAGGAATCTGGGGTAATATATAGGGTGCAGAGTGAATGTTATGGAGGGGAGCTCTGAGGTAGTGATGGCAGAGGTGACATGCTGTAAGGAAGAGCTGAGGTAATTTAAAGGACAAACTTTTTTAAAATGAGGAAAATAGAGGTAAGCTAGAGGAGGGGAGAGGTTACATCCTCGGTGGGAAAAGCTGAGGTAACTTAGAGGGAGCAGGGGTGATGTTTGGGGTGGGTTCATCTCAAAAGCTGTTAGTTTAGAGAAAAAATAAATCGTATGTTTGATGGCATGATTTGGTGTTGTCACCGTGGGGTGGAGCTCTGTGACAGCCGGCAGGTGTCCTGGTGTCCTCTGCTCCCTGCCTGGCCTGGGACTGGGAGGAGAGGGAGCTCCTGCACCAGCTGTAGCAGAGGATTTGCACAGAAAATGGGACCCTTGATTTTAAAGTGCTCCACGGGTGATGTGGTGTTACACCTGGGAGCTTGCGTTTGATCCGATGCTGATTTGTAAATGGCTCTGAGAGCCTCTACCTGCCAAAATACTGGCACAGGTCAGCAGGCAGTGAAGTGATGGGGTGTCCTGTGGGGTTGTGCATCCTTGGGGTGGCACAGCAGCATTTTTGGGGCCGAATCATCTCTTTGAGAAGAGCTTGGATGAACCTTAGGAAGGTGAGTGAGGGACAGTGGCAATGGCAGTGCCACAGCCCCTTCCCAGGAGGTTTGGTTACACACCAATACAAAGCTGTGCATATAGCGTGGAGTAAATTGTTAAGCTGTTAGGAGCAATACACAGATTAATAAACCAATTAAATTATCTTAAAAGAGTGGAGTAAGTTAATTGTAATCAAGTGCTAACTGGCAGGATCCCAAACTCCATTAGGAATAAATGCTGCGGCCAAGTGGCAAGGAGCTTCTGACTCTGAACACGATCAGCTAAGTAGCTGAAGCTCCAGTGGAGAGATTGCTTCTGGTAAACAAATATTTGGGAGCATTTACTTCTCCCAATAAAGGCTTTTAAGAAATTGCAGATTTAATCTTTGTGTATTACCTTTACTTGTTTATTTCCAGTAATGGCACGGAGCTGTACAGCGAGTGGCTGCTCTGTTTGTCAGCTGTCAGCACCAGAGAGCAGCCTCTGAAAAGAGCAGCAAAGTTTGCCCCAGCATCTGCTGTCCCTGCCCAGCCCTGGAAAATAGGAAGGATTTGGGGAAAAAAAAAAAAAAACTAGGGTTTTTTTTGAGAATGACAGCTCTGATGGGAAACTCCTGGCAAAGTGTTTTGCTGTCAGTTAAGTGAGTAAACTGACATCTCTCGTGATGCTGAGGTGGGATTGTGCCAGGAGCAGCTCCTGCAGCGAGGACAGCGCTGCCTGCCCTGCCCATGGGTCTAGTTCAATTCTAGTCCCATCTAGTTCAGAATCTGGTTCCCTTCTCCATGGGGTCCTGCCTTGGATGTCCTCATTTCCAGCTGTTTTGGTGCTTGTGGTTACTGAGCAGGCAGTGACTGCCAGCTGTGCTGCTGCTCCAGATGAAGTCCTCAGAGCAAGAAGGGCGCTGGTCTGTTTCTCCTTGCGTGTCGTGCTGCTTGGCCAAACTTCATAAAAGTGCTAGGAACGAGTGCCTCAGCTTGTTCAATTACCCACGTGTTGTGTAAAGCAGCAACAGCTTGGAAAGGCAATGAGGTTGTGGTGGGGAGTTGGCCTTTTCAGCATTTAAAGGTTTTTAGTCTTTAAGGTTCATCTTCCTAGGTAAGTGGTGGTGGTTGGGTGATTTTTTTTCAAGTTAAGATTTTGATGTCACCTTATGGGTGACCTCAATGCAGATGCTCAGATTTGACAACAGAGAATATGGTTTACTGATGTTTTTTGAAGAATTCCAGGTTCATCTTGGAGTTAATTTTCTGAGTTTAGGGTTACTAACAGCTTTGTATGAATGGGTTTGTTCTAAATCTCTAACTGAACTTTCTCCAAAGCTGCCTGCTGTTGGTAATACGGCTCCAGAGACCTGTCCTTGGTGTCCCAGGGGTGCAGAGAGGCCTGGGGAGGTCTCCAGGGGAGCTGGTGTGCTGTGGGGCAAGAGGTTTGTGCTGTTTGGAGTGGCAGGAGGGTGGTGTAGCTGCAGCCAGCAGTGTTTTCAGGCTCTTGATGTTGTGCTGCTGTTGGAAATGATCTTCTGGGCTGCAACATAAATGAAGTGAGTGGGATCGTGTTTGCTGGAGGGCCTCGGAGCTGCCTCCTTGGTGCTTATTGTAGGACTTCAGGGAGTACATTGAAGAGCACCTAGCACCAGCATCACTTCCCAGTGGGTACCTGGAACTCCTCCACTGCTACCAACAAATTTTTTTTCTTTGATTTTTTTACCCATGGCCTTGGGTTCTTGTTTACAGTAGCTCAGTGACTCTCACTTTGCTGACTGCAGTGGTAATTCATCTCCTAGACCTGTATTTCAAATCACAGCTGGACTGGATGGAAAAAAAAAAAAAGGCCATTTCTTCAGGATGTTTTTCTGTGTTGATGCCTGTGCACACAGACACGAAAGTGACCCAGTTCCTGCCCCTGGAGGAGGCTGCAGAAGGGATGGGGAGAGGAACAAGCCTCCAAGTGCTGCTACGAGGCCTTCCAGTCCCAGACACAGACAACAATGGGCAAAAGCTCCCTGGGAAGCGCTTGAAAATCTCCCTCTGCTCCTGATAAATTGTTTTTACGGACGGGGAGGGATGGCTGAGTGACGACATGCAGCAGGAGTCTGGCTGTGGGGCCAGATGTGGCTGCAGGGACGAAGGCAGAGCCGGGCTCGCCGCATGCCTTGGAGGAGATCCCACGGGGCACTGGGGGGGCTGTGATGTCCCCTGTCACTGCAGTGTCCCCAGGGGGCTGTGTGGGGCCTGGGAGCAGGGGGATCTCCTGGCTCAGCCCGGGTACACGCTCCCATTGTCCCCGATAACAATGGGGGAGCTGAGCAAGCGCCGCAGCCGATGACACAACCCCAAGCTCGGGGAGCAGCTGGCTGGCAGCTAAAGGGAAGCTCTGTGCGGGTTCCCCCCTCTCCTGCCAGCCCCCAGCCTCGGGGAGAAACCCAGCTCTGCCCCTGAGCTGGACAAACCCTCCTGTCCTTATTTAATCCTTCTCCTCCCAGGGGTGAGGAGTTTCCCGGCTGGTCTGGAGCTCGGGGGACCCAAATTCCTGCAGGGAGCCGCTTCCAGCGGCTGCGCCTCTCTGCGTGGTGAGAGTTAACCTCCTGGCTGATGGTTCTTCATAAATAAGCAATGCTGGTAAGCAGTTTCCACTCCTGAAGGCCCCGCAGGTAGGAGGAGAAAGTGCAGGGAAGCCATTTCTGTGTTCTGCAGCTTGCATTATTCATCGCTTTTGGGACAGAGAGGAGAGAAAGCTGGGCAGGGGATGGGGGCAGAAGCTCTGAGCCCATTTCCCTGCCTGGCACCTTCCTGCAGGTAAGGGACCCAAATCTGCAGACGGAGCTCGGAGCTGCCTGCCAAGCCGAAAAGCTTTGTCAGCCCGAGATGTTCCCCCTTCCCCTGGGGCCAGGTCTTCCAGTAAGCCCTGCAGCGAGCAGCTCTCCCATCCAGCTGCTGTGTGGGGAGAACCAGCCTTTAAAACCAGAGCTTTGGTATCATACACATTTTAGATCATCCGCTATCTTTAGCAGTCAGTATAGGTTACAGTTACACAGTTTCTAGCCATCAGTACAGCTTATTATACAGAAATCTTAGTACTCAGCATGGCTTTCCTATTATCTAGGATTTTTAGTCACCTTGACCCTCTGCAGATCAGGCCAAATGGTTAATAATCAGCACTATGCAATAATCATTAGCTACGTGCAGGATTGGGTGAGAAGTGCAGGAGTCACCGAGTCCTCAGATGGTGGTGGTGATGCTGGACCCTGACCTGCAGGTCTCCAGCAGCAATTCTGGTTGCAGTCAGCCTTGCAGCTGCTTGATTTTATAGCCAATATTTTATGAGCAGGTGCCACCACATCCCAGCCTTTGACAGCTCCGCTGGGGGAATGCCCAGGGGAGATGGTGGCAGGGAGCTTTCCTCTCCTGCAACAGGGGTCCCCAGGTCCTGGTGACGATGCTGGTGTATGCGTGTTCTCATTGCAGTGCTAAAAATGGAGAAGGAGGTGGTGTGTGATCAGCCAGCTTCCATATGAAGTTTCTTTTGCCTTGCAAGGTGGCAGGTGGTGTGGTTAACCACACTGGCAGGCGGTGCTGGTGCCAGGAAGGGGCACAGCATCCCCGTGCTGGGGTGTGTTGTGTGGCTGGGGGGTGCTGAGCGTGGTGTCCCCAAGCCCTGTGCTGCAGCAGGAGCCCTGCCCTGCCCTGTTTCTGTGGCACATGGAGGGGGGAGCGCAGTCTCCTCCACCCCTGCTCTGTGCAGAGGCACCGCAAAGCCCAGGGGCTTCGTATCTGGGCCGTGCTCCATATAACATCCACGGGGCTTCACCGGGCTCCCGGGGGCTCTGCTGTCTCTACAATCAAGGGCAAAGCTCTTCTGCAGCCTCCCTGTCTTCGTCCCTCAAAGACGGGGAGGGGAGGGCCTGGGTTTTGCGGGAAGAACCACGCATCCTTCGCTGCCCTCTCCAGCTCTGGTCCCATGGAGGTCATTTTTTTCCATCCATGCTGCCAGATTTTCTGGTGCTGGTTCTCAGATGCCCCCCCCTCACCCTTCCATCCCTCCACTCCCCAGCTCTAATTACCGTGTGGGGGCTGCTGCTGGGGCAGCTCATCCTGCTGGCAGGGTGTGCGCCAGCCCCATGGAGTGCTGCTGTGCCATAATCCCTCACCATAATTCCTCACCAGGAGGGAGAGGGGCTTTCTGCTCCCCTGGGGAAGGCTGAGCACCCACCTTCCTGCAGGAAGGGCACCTCCTGCAGCCGGACATTTTTTGGGGCAAGGCCAGCTTTTAATTGCTGCAGCAGCGCCAGACACCCGAGTCATGGTGCTCCTCGGTGCCTCTGCTCCATGCCTGGTGTCTGCCTGCGCTGCTGGGCTGCCTCTGCCTGTCTGCCTCTCTTCCTGCTCCCTCTCTGCCTGTAGTTATTAAATTTTCTCCTCTTCACCCCATTCATTCCTTTAGCTTTATTCTATAGGGCGCCCCTGCATTTAGGTGTGACTGGGGGACTCATTTTCTCTGCTTTATGGATGGCATCCAGGCTGCTCTCTGCAGCGAAGGGGCTGTCCAGCTGGAGAACCTCTGCAAGGAGCCTTCTGCAAGCACCTCGGCAGGATGCTTGCTGCCAGCACTGCCCAGAAACTGCACAATCATGCCTGCCTCCACAGCACCGCCGCCAGCCAGAGATTTAGAGGGAGCTGATTTCTCTTGCAAAGGGTGCCTGAGCAACTGCGTGTCTCCAAAAGCAGCCCTCTGAGCCCCCTCCGTCGGTCTGTAGCATCCCAGCTCATCAGGGTCATCACATTCATGTGTGCAGATCCCTGGTCTGGCTCCCTTCAGGTACCCCCCTGCCCCAACAGCCAGAGCCAGGTCTCCACTCTGCTGCTGGCAGTACCTGGGGAAACCTGGGACCCCTTTGGGGCAGTGTGCCTGCAGCCTGCTTTGTGACCAAGCAGCTGGTGGCAAGGTTTTGTGGGATGAGCAAAAACCCCCCCAGCACAGCCAGCTTGCAAAAAATCAGCACTCGGATGTCACCTGGGATCAGGTTCTGCTGGGGCAGAATATGACTTTTCATCTCAACTTTCACCCTGCCAGCCCTTTTTGCAGAGCCTGGCCAGGGGGGAGTGGGAGGAGGTGAGGATGGGGCAGGCCACCCTGCGTGCCCTGCTCCTTCCTGGGGTGTCCTCAGGACCCCAAAAACTCAGGGTGAGCAGCCCCTCGTGCTGCTGTCACTCACCTTGCCCAAAAGAGCAGGGCAGAAGCATTTTGCAAGGATGCTTCTGGGTCCAAAGACATTTTCCCTAGTGCAGAAGCAGCTCTGCTTATCCATGGGGGGCTGCGTGGGATGAGTCTTTATTTGCCCCACCAGCTGTGGGGCTAAAACACGAGGGGGGTGGGTGCCTGGGGGCATTATAGAGAGCCCCAACTGCATCCCCTGCAGGGAGGAGAGCTGCTGCAGGGACCCCGATTCCTACATATTTGGGGTGGGGGAGCTCTGCTGTTCCCCAGCCCAGGCCAAGCACCCCCACATTGCAGGGGGGGGCGGCGGCTCTTCTGCCAAACGCAGTTCCCATGGCGATGGGGATGCGCCCCCCACCTCCTAACCTCCAAAATCCCCCACCGGGGGGGGGGCTGCCCTCACCCCCAGCACCCCAACCCGCAGCCGGGATGCTGAGGGGCGGGGGGCGAGGGTGTAGGTTTGAGGCCGGGCTGTCAGAACCAGGGACCCCCCCGCGCCCTCCCCCCAAAAAAAAAAATCACCGCAGGGCTGGGGGCTGAGCCTCGGTGACGCCGCCCGGCCCTGATTTGCTGGGGCCGCCCGGCCGGCCCTTCCCAAACTGCGGGGAGCTCCGCACCGCCCCTAGCCCCGCCGGGAGCCGCGGGCAGCAGCGGGCAGCAGCGCCGGGAGGCGGCAGCGGGGCCCCCCAGGTAGGCACCGGCATCCCCAGCATCACCAGTCCCACCAGCATCACCAGTAAGCGGGAGGGATGCAGCCCCCCCCGGGGGTACCCACCGCCGGTCCCCGTGCGCGCCCTGGGCGCAGCGCTGCAGGGATTTGGGGGGCGACGCAGGGGGGGGTCGGGGAGATTCGGGGGGTCGGGGGGCGATGCAGGGGATGCTCTGGGGTTTTCGCAGCGATGCTGGTGGCCCCCCCTCCTTTTCCTTTCCCCCCAAGCCGTCGGGATTGCGGCATTCCTCCTTGGGCACGCCTGCGCGCACCCACGCACCCACCCGCATCCCTGCAAGGGCGGCAGCTCCTGCACCAAGCCCAGGCACCCCCCCCCCCGCCCTCCTCCTCGCAGCCCCACTTTCGCTGTCAGGTTTTTGGGGCTCAGAGTTTCCCGCATCCCCATTTTTCCCCCGGTGTCCCCACCCTCACCATTCCCAGAGCCCTGTCTGCGACCCTACAGGGGTGTCCCCCCCCGGTGCCACCGCCCTTGTGAGCCCCATCCCCGTGCACAGCTGGCTCAGCTCCTGCTGGGGGGCAGAGGGAGGCACAGGGGGGCAAAAGGCTCGCAGACCCTAAACCTGGAAGATCTGCGTGCTTTTGCACATGGGTGGGAGGCAGCCCTCCTCTCGGGGAGCTCATCTGCGCTGCGTTTGCGGCTGCAACCTGGGCAGAGTCCCAGGATGCTCAAGGAGGAGCAAATCTGAGCTGGAAAAGGGTAAATTGAGGGGCCAGGGCCAGCTCGGAGGGTCCTGGAGGGGACGCGGTCTCCTCTGTCACACCTTTGTCCCCCTTTGCGACCCCTTGGTTATCGAGACCATGCAGAAGGGAATTTTTCTGCTTGGCCTGGGTTTGGGGTTGCAGATATAGAGGTCTTTCACAGCTATGGAATGAGCACATGGTCTTGGCATTTCCCCCTTTGAATGTTATGTGAAAGACCCAAAAAAATGCTAAAAAAAGTAAAATCCAGCTGGCTGCGGTACAGGCACTTCCCAGCTCTTCCCTGGATGCTGAGCCAAGCTGTGATGGGGCACAGTGGGGCGGGTCTGCGCTCTCCCCCGGCCCCCCTGGGGACCCAAAGGGGTGGCAGCTGAGCTCCCCCTCTCGGAGCTGGCCGCAGTCCCCACCCAGGAGGAGCGACTGCGGGGCGCTCGGCGCGTCCTTCAGCCCCGGGTTCTGCTCTGCTTCTCCCCCCCCCTCCTCCCTCCTCTCCGCATGTCTGCGGCTGGATTCCCCGTGCGGTTGCTTGGTTGGGCTGCAAGCCTTTAATTGATTCCTTTCGGCCGCATCAGACCGCAGGCAGGGCTGGGGTTTGGACGGCACATCCACGAGCCCCTCGCCCTCAGGAGGGTGGGCGAAGGGCCAGGGACCCTATAGCTGGAGGCTCCCACCCCAAAACTTTCCCAACCCCGTGTCTGGGCGGGCTCCGCTCGGTCCCTGGGGACCCGGTGCCATCCTTTGGCCGTCTCAGCTCCCTGTCCGGCTGCTGCCTCTCCCTCCTGGAGGCTCTTGGCCCCTTTCCCTCACCGCATCGCAGTGAGTCATCTCTGCTGAGCTCACCCGCGGGGGGGCCAGGCTGGCGCCCGCACGAAGGGTCCCTCACCTGGCACCGTGCCGGGCGGGCACCGGGGCGCATCCTGCTTTCTGCTGCCCGCCCCTCGGGCAGGGAGATTTTGGGGGCAGAACACAAAGGTTTGGGCACGAGGGGGATCCAGGGAGGGAAAAGAGCGTGGCTGGCACCACCTAAGGACGCGGGAAGGTGATGCTGGTGGGCACGCAGTGCTCAATCCTCATCCCTTCCCCGTGCAGCCAGCTGCAGAGCATCGTCTGTGCCATGGTGGGGGCCTCGCTGATCGCTTCTCTCCCCCTCCCCAGGCTCATCTCTCGCCGGCAGCCTCCCCACGGACACCTGATCAGCGGAAAGATGAACCCCACCGTGGGCATCGCTGTCATCCTGACAGGTAGGGCTCTCGGGTGGGGTGGGATGCAGCACCCACGGGGCCGGGAGGCTGCTCGGGTGTCCCCGCTGCTCACTGTCCCCCCCGTCCCCACCCCTTGTCCCAGTGCTCCAGGCCGCCCAGTGCCAGATGATCAAGGACCTGAGCGCCTGCCTGCTGGGCCAGAGCCTGCGGGTGGACTGCCGCTACGAGAACAAAACCAGCAACCCGCTGACCTACGAGTTCAGCATCACCAAGGACAACAGGAAGCACGTCATCCACAGCACCATCAGCGTCTCCGAAAACGTCTACCGGAGCCGCGCCAACGTCACCATGCACAAGAACCTGGTGTGCCTCTACCTGCAGAGCTTCACCACCAGCGACGAGGGGGTCTACATGTGCGAGCTCAAGGCCACCAACGACTACACCGGCAACCAGATAAAGAACATCACCGTCATCAAAGGTGAGAGGGGCAGACCCCTTCCTTCTCTCCCACCCCTCGGTTTGGCAGGGCCAGCCAAGAATCCCCAGCCCCTGTGGTGTCCCCAAAGGCTCCCTGAGCCCTGTCCATGTCCTGCTGCCCACCCCCTCGCCCCTGCTCTCTGGCACAGGGGTCTCTGCATCCCCAAAAGCCTCCCTGCTCCACGGGCACAAGGTGGGAATGGGCAGTGGGGCAGGCTGGGCTCGCTGCATTGCTGTGCCGGGGTCCCAGCCGCCCCGACCCCTGCTCCCGTGGGGTTTCATCTCTTTTCTCCCCGTTCCCCATCCTCGCAGACAAACTGGAGAAATGCGCCGGCTTCAGCCTCTTGATCCAGAACACTTCGTGGCTCCTGCTGCTCCTCCTTTCCCTGCCTCTCCTGCAAGCCGTGGACTTCGTGTCCCTGTGAAAGGATAAAAAAAAAACAAACAACAAAACAAACCACCCCGCGCCCCCCACGGAGCACCCCAGCCAACCCGCCTCCCCCGCCAGAGCGCAGCCCTCGGAAAGAGCAGATTTGGAAGAAACGAAACCTCTCTCTATGTTATCTATGTAGCCGTATATCTAACGCTAGCCACCGTCCTGTGCTGAGACCCGCCGGCACGCGCGCGCGCACGCCCCGCTCCGAAGCATGGTGGCTCCGCTAGGCAGCGTCGCTTCTCCCATCACACCCTCCCCTTGTGCTGGTTTTGCTGGGGCACCAGAGCCTCAGCTTGCTTCTCCCACCCCTTTTCTTTCTTTTTTTTTTTTTTATTTTATATATTTTTCCTTGGCCTGTTCTCAGCTGGGGAAAGACAGCCAGACGAGCAGGTAAGGGAGGGGACGGGAGAGCGCGGGGACGGGTCCCGGTGCTGGGAGGAGACGGGGAGGAGGCCACGTGCCAGCGGGGTGACTTGGTGGTTTCTCTTTGTTGCAGCCGGGTTGGAAGCGAGGCCCCCAGACACCGCCTTGTGCCCTGGGGCTGCCCGAGCCCGGGCACCCCCCTGGTCCTCCCCAGGGACCAGTCCTTAGCTGTGACGAGAGAAGTGCCGCCAGCACCCGCAGCGGAGGCCCGCGGAGCCTCTCCGAGCTAGCCACAGCCTGGCCAGCGCCCCGTGCCCCCAGGTGGGGAGGGGGCTCCCCCAGGGGACCGCCACTCCCCCACCCGAGCTCCATGGGGACGTCTGGGGGGTCCCTGTCCTTCCCCGTGGCACGCGCCCCCCTCTTTCTCCAGCCTCCCCATGCCGCAGGGAGGAGCTCCATGTGTCCCCTCCTGCCTCCCTGCTCCCTTCTCTCTACTGAAATGAGGAAAAAGGGGGCGAAGGCAAGCCCAGCTCTTGGCCACCGCCTCAAGAAGGATGTTCCCAGGGGTCAGCGAGAGTGGAGAGAGGGACCCCAAGCACAGCCCCAGCCTTGTCCCCATGCCCCGCAGGACCTCAGGAGCCTTCGGACCAGGAGAAACCACGAGGCTGGCCCTGCACACCCCAACCCAGGAGCGGGCAGGGGGCTGGGGAAGGCAGTGACGGGACCACCTGGCTCTGTGGGGTCAACCCGAGCCCTGCTGAGCTCCCCAGACTGTGCCACGACGGCTGAGGGCCCTTCCCAGCGGCTGCTCCCCGCTCCTCACTTTCCTCCGGACGTCGCGAGCTGCCCCCCACCCCGCTGCCCCATCCTGCCCATCCCTGCCCCTCTCGCTGCCTGCTTGCTTGCTGTCTAGTGCTGCCGAGGCCGTGCACGGCGGAGGTTCGGCTCACCCCGCTCCCCGGGCTGGTTTGGAGCTCCCCGGGGAGCACCGGGGCAGGGCAGAGCCCAGCCGACCGCGTGGACGCATTCTCCGGTCTCATTTAATTTTTTTTTTTTGGTGAACATTTGTAGTTGTTTCCACAGCTTGTCGTAAAAAGAAATTCTGTTCAAAGGAGAAAAAAAAGAAAAAAAAAAGAAAAGAAAAGAAAAGCCAACCCTACGAAAAGCAACAAGAAGAAGAACAAAACCACCTGTCCTCCGGGAGTTTTCCTCCGTCTGCACAATAAAAGCCTAGGTCGTGTGTTGGAGCCGTGGCCACCCGTGTGTGTGGGGGGTGGGGTGGGGGGCTACGGGGGGCTCAGCACCTCCTCCGCAGCCCCAGCCTTGCGTGGAGAAGCAAGAGGTGACCCCATTCTGCCCCTTGGGGCACAGCCCCATGTCCCCATTCCATCCCACCAACCCCATTGTGAGCTCAGGGCTGGGGCCGCCTGCGGAACCGGGAGAGGGGCGAAGCGGGGTAGGTACCACCGGGCACCCCACGCACAAGGGCACCTCCGGCACCCCGTCCCCATCCTGCCCCCGTCCCCCTCATGCCCTGCCCGCCCTGGTGGGGCCGTGCCCGTGGAGGCAGCCCTAGCCCTGGCACCCCATGGGCAGGGAGCGTGCGTGAGCGGTGCCGGGCGTGCGGGCGCGTCCCGGAGCTGTGCCAGGGTCCTTCCCCCGTGCCTGCTGACGTGCGCATTGCGTGCGCCCGTGTGATGCCCCTGGGGATGCCAAGGGCTCTGGCAGCTCCTGAAGCAGCCGGGAGCAGCCACGTGCTGGATCCCAGTGCTGCCCCAAGAACCACGGACTGTGGGGTGGGTTTGGGATCAGGGCCGTGCCACCGCCCCTCACGCCGCTGATGACCCCGCAGCAGCCTCCCGGAGTCACACCCAGGCGCGGACGCCAGCCTCACGTGGCCCTCCCTGTTTCGGGGCTGGAGCCGGGCAGGAGGCAAATGCCAGCCTAATTGCAGCCCGCCTAATTATCGTCGGCAGGTGCTGGCTGAGTCACGGCCACCGAGGTGCCGGCTCACCGCGAGGCCGAGCCGCCCTGGGTGGGTCAGGCGTCAGGGAGCGGAGCTGGGGATTGTGCCCTGGCGTCCCCCCGTGTCCCCATGGGGGGCAGAGGGTGCTCCCAGCCCACTCCTGCTCTGCTGCAGGCCAGGGGGGGCTTCTTCTCCCCGTGGCTTTTCCCATCAGGGAGCAAAACGCAGACCACCTCCCCTCCTGGACCTCCACCTCCTTCCCAAACCCCCTCTCTCCCCACACTTACCCTCAGGCCTCCTCCCCCCGTGCCTCTCCAGCCTCCCCTTGCCGTGGGGCACCCTGGGGCTCACGTCCCCTTTAAGCCTCGGGGAGGCTGGAATGTGAGAGGCGCATTCGGGCTCCCTGCGAGGTCAGATAAAGGCTCTATATTTATCTACCCGGTAACCCGAGCCCTCAATTTTGTGCCGTGGCGTTTTCACGCGGCCCCCGCAGCCCTCCGGCACGGCCGCTGCGCCCGCTCCCAACCCGGGTGGAGGAGCCGAGCCCCAGGGGGGCCTGACCCTGCCGTCGGCACCCCAAAAAACCTCTCTCTCTGCTCCGGTCCCAGGGGAGAACCCCGAGGTGTCAGCAGCGGCTCCCCCCGCTCGGCGTCGCCCCATGAGCACCGCAGCCCCGAGCGCACGCCCCGCCGAGCACACCGGTGAGTGGAGGGACCATTAGGGGACAATCCTATGGGGAGAGGGCTGCGAGGTGCCAGGGAGAACCCCTAAAACCCCCTCCTCACTCTCCCTTCAGCTGGGTGAAGCTATAGGGGAGACCTTTGCGCTCTCGCTGTCCCCGGGGAGCGGGATCCCATGGCAAACCCGCAGCACGCCCGGCACCTCCTGGTGCCCGCTCACCTCCCCGGGGTCCCTTCTTTTTTTTTTTTTTCCCCCACCCGCAGACCTCAAAGCAATAACAGGCGTCGGGCCCTACGTCAGGGCTCCCCGTGGGGTTGGGGTTTTGCTGCCTGGGGGGCACGAGCAGCAGGTTTTGCAGCCAGGTGGGGATGTGTCAGCGGCGGTGACGCTCGCCCGGCACACGTGCACTGAGCTGGGAGCGTTCTCAGGCTTGGGAAAGGGAAACCCCCATTTGGGGACATCCCGGGGGGGCTCAGCACCCGCAGCCCCTCAGCCCTGGGGTGTCCTCGCTCCACGCCCCCGGTTGCCGCAGAGGGCTGGGAGCTCGCGAGTAACCCCCGGGCTGGGACATTGTGTCTCAGGGCACGGGGCCACGGCTCCAAACCTGCGTAAGCGAGAAGCAGCTGTGCCACAGCTCCCTGCACCGAGCCAGGGCCCTGTAAGCTGAGCCTGCCCTGGGGCTCCGCGGCCACCCGGGGGGGACAGCGGCCACCGGGGCCACCGGCACCGGGAATTTAGGAGAGGACAGCAGCCCTCCCCGCCTCCCTCAGCCTCCGGGGTGAAGGGTTGCCTCTCCAGGAGACCCGTGGCCATCCCAAATTGAGGTTCCCGTTGGGAGCAGGAGGTTGGGATGAGCTCCCCAAGAACGGGATCTCGGGTCCCTTTGGGGTTGGCTCCTGGCTCCTGGGCACGCGGCCACGGACCGGACATTCCTGTGCCTCAGCTTCCCCGGGGAGGATGCTGAGGGTGCAGGAGGCCTGACTCAGCCGTGCCGGCCCCAGGGCTTCGCCCAGGCAGCAGGGAAGCAGCTCAGCGTTATTACGGGCAGGGAGGGGCCCAGGAAGCGATGGGAGGAACCGGGGATTTCTCACACCTCCTCGGCTCCCCGGGCTCATGGCACGCTCTGCTCTCCTCCAGCCCTGGGGTCCGCTGTGATGTGACACGGGGACGGCACAGGGTGCTCCCAGCTGACACGGCGGCCCTACATGGTAAGATCTCCCCTCCTGTGATGCCAACGGGGTCCCTGCTGTGCCCAGGGCAGGTTCCCCTTCCCAAACCCCACATCCCTCCACCGGCTCCCCACATCTCCAGGCCACGCTGTGCCCCGCGGGGACCGGTCCCGCTGCCAGAAGGCACCCGTTGGAGCCACAGGGCTCCAGCACCCTCACCCCAATACCCATGGGGACGGGGACCTTTTGCCGGGCCCCACATCCCATAGCAAACCCCTTCGGTGCGCATCAGCTCCTGCCTGGCCGAGCAGCTCCGGGGTCCTCCCGGTGCTGGAGGAGGCGGGCGGCTGTGGCGGGGTGGGGGAGAGCCGGGTGTTTGGTGGCTCCTTTGCCTGCGAGCGCATTATTCAGCCCTCGGCCTCGGCTCCCAAACAGGTCTGTGCGCTCCGGCTTGCTCTTGCTTGTAAATAGTTTCCTCCACGCTGCGGGACGGCTGCTCCCCAGCCACGGCAGCAGCAGCTCGGGGCCAGGCAGGGAGGATCCTGCGGTGGCCGGGCTCTGGTTCCCGTCCCCGAGCCCAGCTGCACCCCACTTTTTGAGGGCTGGGCTCTGTTTCCATCCCCGGCACCTCTTGCACTGGTTTGGAGTGGGGCCAGCGCCCGCCCTGGCAGGGCTGGGAAAAGCCTCGGAGCCGGGGTCATCTCCTGGGTGACCGGGGACTCTCGGAGCCGTGAGCTGCTGGCCGCACAGGGAAGGGACGTGAGGCACCCAGGGGAATGAGCACGGCCCCAGGACAGGTATGGGACCAGCCCTCAGCCCGTGAGCAAGTTTTTTTCTGGCTTCAATCCCCTGCTTAAGCTGGTGCAGGTGGCTGGCCGCCCTGTCCCCGGCTCCGGGGCTGGCTCCCCTTTTTCTCCAGGTGCCTCCGTCCTGGTGATCCCTGGCTGTCCCCACAGCCCCCAGCACCCCTGGGTGGCTTGTGGCTGCTGCAAGGTCTTCAGCAGCTCCCTGACACCGGGCAGCCCCTGGGGGGCAGGCACGGAGAGCCAGGACCTGTGTGCTGACAGCTGTGGGGCAGCGTGGCCAAGGCTAGGACAGAGGTGACCCTGCTGTCCCCATAGGTGCCCATCACCTCCGTCCATGCCCAGCAGAGCCCCAGGGCTCCCTCCTGTGGTGCCAGGTGCCCACAGGCACCCGGGTGGCACTGCCAGCAGTGCCCTGATGCCCCAAGCTCTCCAGGAGGGCTGGCAGGAGCCGTTACCACCCCACAATGACGTCCCCTGGGTCCCCGCTGTTCCCTGCTCGCCCCCCTCAGGCTCCCTCCGCTGGGTGCCGGCGGTGGGCACCCCATGCGCTCGGGCTGCAGCCCCTCGAAGCTGAACCCAGGCTTTTCTCCTGCAGCCGATGCCTCCAGCCCTGCCCGCTGAGCCCCAGCCTGCAGCATGTCCCAGCTCTCCTCCACGCTGAAGCGCTACGTCGACTCGTCGCGCTATGCCGAGGCCACCTACGGCAGGGTGCCCGGCGGCTACAGCTCCTACACCTCCTACGGCTCCACCCTGACCACGGCCTACGCCGACAGCGACAAAATCGGCTTCAAAGCCAGCTACCTGCCCTCCCCCCGCTACCACCACTCGGGGCTGTCCCCCACCAGCACCTACGACAGCGGCCGCCTGCCCCTCTACCCCGATTCTGGCATCCGCCTGAGCCCCGCTTACCTCCGCACCCAGCACCGGCCACCCGGCGGGGGGCTGAGCGGGGGCTCGTGCTACACCTTCACGGGGACCCCCAGCAGCCCCTCGGGCTACCTGCCCAGCTCGGCACCCCTCAGCCGTCGCAAATCCATCAGCCACTCGGACCTGGTGCAGGAGTTTTCGGGGCTGCGCACCTCGGAGAGCGCCTACGCCTCCAGCCCCGGGGCGCGGGGCCGCCAGGAGCTCGGCGCCCTGCAGGGTCTGTACCAGGCCGCCGCACACTCCGACTACGTCCGTGACTACCTGGAGAGCTGCGAGAGGAAGAGCAGCCACTGCAGCTTCCCCTGCAGCCCCCCCGGACCCTCCCAAGCTGCCCTGTCCTCAGCCGGCACCCGCGGTGCCAGCCAGCCCTGCGAGAGGAGCGATGGCTACGGCAGCACCTCTGCCCCTGACCCCCTGGTAGGTGGTGCGCCGTGGAGGGGGGGGGACGGGACAGGGCTGGTGGGGTCCCGTGTGCTGCACAGGTTCGTGCTGAGCTTGGGGGGTTGAAGGAAATGGTGCGCTCCTTTTGGGGTCTCCATCAGTGGGGTCGGTGGGGTCTCCGTGCCGCCATGTGTGCGCGCCGTGCCGGTGCCGTGTCCCCAAGCAGCTGGAGGTGCCCAGCTCTGCCTGCTCCCCGTCCCCAGCAGCTCCGAGGGCCACCATTGGCAGCGGTGGCTGCTCCATCACACGTGCTGGTGGCGCTCGGGGCCCCAGCTCCAAATCAGCGCTGCGCCATCCCCGGAGCCTCGTCCCAGGCCGGGAGCGGGCACCACGCACGCAGCCCTGCTCAGGAGCGCACGGCAGCAGCCTGGTAATTTTCCACTTGGCTTCCCTTCCACGGAGCCATCGGGCTGTGCCCGCGCTGTCTCCCGTTCCCTTTCCACCCCACGCTGAAGGTCGGTGTCCCCCCGAGCAGGGTCTGACTTGCCCACTGCTTCCCAGCAGCTCCGTCCCACCGAGCAGGGAGGGTGAGGGCCGGGGGTCCCCTTCTGCTCCCCACGAGAGCAGCCAGGAGCACTGGAGGGGCTGGGGGGGCACAGCGAGGTGTGGGGCAGGGAGGAGAGGCCAGCAGGAGCTGCAGCTGGTGCTGCGCAGCCCCGTGGCCGTGCCCTCCCTTATCTTAACCCCTCTCTGCTGCTGCAGCCCCCTGCCAGTGCCCTGCTTTGGGTCCCAAGGGGTGCCAAAGGCCGGATCGGTGACGCTGGCTTAGGTTTCCCCGGTGCTTTAATGCGCACACCTGCAATTTTCCATTCCTGGGCATTTTTCCCCCTGTTCCCAAGCTGGGAAGCGAACGTACCGGTCGTAAAACGGGCTGCAGGTGCCCGTGGGCATGCACGGTGCCGGAAACGAGGCCGCGTTGCAGCCCCGGCACTGCCATCAGTTCTGCCCCATTACCCGGCCCCGGGGGCAGCACCAGCAGCCCCCAACCCTGCCGGAGCCAGGGCATGGCAGGGGCTGGCCCCGTGCCTGCTCCCGGCCACCTCCTGCCTTGGCACTGCGGGAAGCCAAGCGGAGGAGCCTGCAGCTGGGACATGAGGGTGCCCTCGTGCCTCAGTTTCCCATCCTGCAGGGCACGGGGAGGTGCAGGGGGCTGCAGCTGCGGTGCCGGGAAGGGTGGGACCGGAGCTGTGCCACCCCATTAACCGCCCTGCGTGGACACGGGGTCGGGAGGCCAGAGCCACCCACGGGAACGCCGGCAGCTCTCTGCAGCCCCATCCCGGGCTGCTGACGGTGCTGGCTCGTGGCCAGCCCTGGTCCTGCCTTCACGGTGCCAGCCAGACCCGTGGCAACCTCTGCCCGTGGCAGAAGGTCACCGCTGGAGAGGGGACAGCAGGGGACAGGTCGCTGGCTCCTTCACTCCGTGGCTGCAGCTTGCCCCAGGAGCCCACACGGCGCTCCAGCTGGAGGGCACCGCACTCCCGGGGCTCTTGGAAGTCACCAGGGCACGATTTTCAGCACGGGACGTGGCCAAACAGCACCCCTCTTGCTGTGGAGCCAGCTCAGCCGGCACATCCCATCCCCGGGGAGCTCTGCACCAGCACCCACACAGCGCCCGGGGCCCCATCCTGCCCCCAAATCACGCGCTGGGCTGCAGGGCAGGAGCAGAGCCTGGCTTGTGCAGCACCCTGGGGTGCTGTGCCACATCCCCAGGGCCCAGGCAGCGCCCCACAAGTTGTGGGGCACCCACACCACCAGCGTGAGCCCCGTGGGGTGCGCACACTGTGTCCCTGCGTGTGCACGGCGCGCACACCACAGGGGGGGTACACAAATCTATCCCCGCAAGCGAGGATTACGGCAAGCATCCTGTTGTGATGCAAAAAGCCCCGGCCCTGCAGATGAATAACGCTGCAAGATGCCTCCTCAGATATTTCTGCTGGTGCCAAAAATAGTCTCCTTCCCTCCTCCCCCCCCCCCCTTCTCCTCTCTCTCCCTTCCCCTGCTTCCAGCCCCTCCGCCGGCTGTGCCGAACGCGCGCCGCGGCGCTCGGAGCACCGCTGGCTGCGGGGGTGGCCCGGGGAAAAGCAGCCCCCGCTCGGTGCCTCCGTCCCGGTGAGGCTGGGGGGCTCCCTCCAGCCCCGCAGCAGCCCGGCCGCGCTCCCTGCCCGTGGAAATTTCCCCCTCCACCCCCCCCAGGACACCCGGGCGCACGCAGCGGGCGCTGGGCCGGCTGCGGTCAGCGGGGTGAAGCGGAGGCAGGCGCAGGACGAGGACGCAGGAGAGCTGGGCTCCCTGCCAGCCTCCGCACCTGCCCTTGCTGCAGGGGCATTGCTGGAGCCCTGCCCGCGCCGTGCCTCAGTTTCCCCCCGCTCCGATCACAGCAGGGGGGTCTTCGCCCCACGGGGGGTTGCCTTTGGTGAGGGGAAGCAGCGAAATACCTCCGAACCCAGCCCTAAAGCAGCCCCCCAAATTGGGGGGCTACACACTGCCTGCTGTTCTCCCCAGAGCAGCACCACGGGGAGCCTAAAACTGTCCCTGCAACCCCAAATCCTACTCGGACAGCCCTGCAGCCCCGCTCCGGGCACGGGCACCCCGGGGCTGCTCCCCATCAGCTGGGGGGCACAGGAGGGGGCTCTGCTGTGTGGCACCGACCCCGTCCAGCCCCACAGCAGTGGCAGATGGATCCCTGGAGCGCAGGAAGCCGTAGGGCAGGGGGCAGGGGGCTTCTCCCTGCATCCTCCCCGGTGGTCTCGGCACGGCGAGCGCATGGCCAGCGGGCACGGCCGCCCCTCGCGGGCCCCCTTGGCTCTCCGGCTCGCTGTACCACGCGGTGCGGCGGGGGCTGGCCGTCACGGAGCCCTGCTGCTGCTGCCGCTGCCGCTGCTGCCTCTCCACCCATTTGATGTCAGAGCTCTGCTCAGGTGCCGTCAGCCCCGAGAGCCGGCACCGGCTCCGGCACCGCAACCGCGCGGCCACGGCGCTGCTCCGGCAAGGCCGCCCGCCTGACCCCCTGCCCCTGACCTTGGCCGGCCCCAGGAGAGGGGGTCCCCGGGGTCCCCCCCGGCAGCAGCAGCCCCTCGCCGTCTCCGAGCAGCCGGGAGGGGAGCCATGAGGGACTCGTACACGGTGACGCTGCCCGAGGAGCCCCCCGCGCTCCCCGACCTTCACAAGGAGCTGCGCCCCCGCGCCTCCATGCCGGGGTCCCTGCTGGTCTCCACCTTCGTCGGGCTCGTCCTCAACAAGACCAAGGTACGAGCTCGGAGACTGGGGGGCACGGGAGGGGGCGACCCCTGCGCTCCCCGGGGAGCTCAGGTCCCCCCCGGCTGCCCCTCGGGGTGCCCCTCGCTGCAGGACGGGGGGCGCGGGGCTGGCACCCATGGGTGCCACCGGGTGCTGGCGGCACCGGGGGGGGACCCGGCAGCTCCCAGCGCTGCCCCGAGCAGGGGGCAGGAGGGGAGGTGACAGCACGTGCCCGGGGTCCCTGTGCCAGCCCTGCCCCTGCGGTGACCTTGGCCAAGTCGCGTGCCCCGCGCTGGCCGGTGCAAGGAGGCTGCTGGTGGCCACACCGGGTGCCGTGGCGGTGCCACCGGGGTGAGCCTGGCTGTCCCCAGAGCCACGCAGCCCACAGTGGGTCCACGGAGGACATCAGGGGGCAGGGAGGGGGCAGGATCGGGGCATTTATGTAAGCCCAGCTGCCCCGGCCGTCCCGCTGCCCCGCTGGGTGCTCGGCACGTGGATGGAGGGCGACTGCCCGGCCCCTGTCCCCTGTCCCCATCCCCTGTCCCACTGTCCCCCCCTCCCGCAGTGCAGCCTCGGGGAGTCCCCAGCCGCCGCCGCCGCGTGAGCCAGCTCTCCTCCGCCGCCTCCGAGCAGCGCCGTGTCCTAGATAACACCCCGGCCGGGCGAGGGGGATTAGCTGGAGTTGAGTCACCCAGAGGAGGGAAAAAAAAATGAAAAAAAAAACAAAAAAAAACAACCAAGCAGGAGGTGGAATCAGAGCCGGGGGTGGGCTGGTGGCACGGCGTGGGGGGCTCCAGCTCCTGGGGCTGCCCCGTGCCCACCCCAGCACCCCGCTCCCTCCTGGGGCACGACCCGGGAAGCCACCAGGAGCTGCTGCCACCCTGCCGGCCACCGTGCCCATCCCACAGCGGGGACAGGAGGTGCCCAGGCACCTCCGCGGGGATTTAGGGTGCAGGACACAGGGTCAGCACCCCGCCGGGGCACGGGGCTGCCCTGCAGAGCCGCGTGTGCCCGCGGAAGGCACCTGGGTGCCCGCTGGCCCTGCGGTGGGTGATGCCCGCACCGCGGCGAAGGCGCACGTGTAACTGTATCTGGGTTATTTTGGGCTGCTGTCAGGGCTGGGTGCTCAGCACCTCCCACACACGCACCAGCTGCTGCTATTTCAGAGCTGCGGGGCCCCCTCCTCTCCTCCTCCTTCCCCCTCCTCGTTCCCGGGAGCAGGGAGGACCCGCGGCAACCTGCAGGAGCCGGGGGGGGGGGGCACCAGGAGCAGGGCTGCCCTGGCACCCACCTGGGGGTGCGCCCTGCAGCACCCTGCCTGGATTTAATCCCATAAAAGAGCTGTGCCCAAATCTGTGGGGTGCTGGTATGGGGTGTCCTGGGGGGGGTGAGGCACCGTGAGGCACCGTGGGGCACCCTAGGGCACTGTGGGGCACCGTGGGGCAATGCCACCCCCAGCTTCCTGGGGCACAAAGGAGGCAGGGGGTGGCCAGCTTGGCTCGTAGCCCAGGGCACGGGGTAGCCAGGGGGACTTTGAGCCCTGGAGTCATCCCGGGACAGGGAGCTGAGCACCAGGACGGGTCCTCGGCCACCGTCCTGCATGCAGCCTGCGCCAGGAGCAGCCGCGGTGCTGGCCCCGCTCTGTGCCCACCTGGGGGGCTGCCCCACGCTGGGGCTGGTGGCCCCGTGGGCTGGTGGCCCCCGCGGTTGGCTCGTCCCAGCCCTGCTCCCTCTCTCCACAGAGCTCCAAGGCGGTGCAGGGGCTGACCGGCCTGCGCAACCTGGGCAACACGGTGAGTGCTTGTGGGGCTCCTGGCCGGCACCGCGGCTTTCTGCGGGCACAGCTGGGGGGTGTGGGGCACCCCGGCCCTTCCCTCGCCCCCCAGACCCACGTTCCCCTCTCCAGGAGCTCCCCACCCTGCTCCCGGTGCTGCTGGAGGACGGAGGGGTCCCCGCTCTCCATCCTGCCTCGTCCCCATCCTCTGCCCACCCTCCCCGGGTGTCCCCCCCGTCACCGCCCGCCTCCCTCTGCCTCCCGTTGCCATGGTTTATTTTTTTTATTTTTTTTATTTTTTTTTTCCTCCCCCAGTGCTTCATGAACTCCATCCTGCAGTGCCTGAGCAACACCAGGGAGCTGCGGGATTACTGCCTGCAGAACCTCTACCTGCGGGACCTCAACAACAACAGCCGCATGCGCACCGCGCTCATGGCAGGTAACGGCACCCCTCCAAAGCACCCCGAGGCTTTGGGGGGGCTACAAAGGGGACGGGGACAGCCAGGGGACACCCATCCCCGTCCCCCTGAGCCACATCTCCGCACGCAGAATTCGCCAAGCTGATCCAGCTGCTCTGGACCTCGTCCCCCAACGAGAGCGTCAGCCCCTCCGAGTTCAAGACGCAGATCCAGCGATACGCCCCCCGCTTCGTCGGCTACAAGTAGGGGCCGTTTGGCTCGGGGGGCGTGGGGAGAGGGTACCGAGCCCTCCCCCACTCAGCCCCTCACCTCCTCTGCCCCCCTGTCTCGCAGCCAGCAGGACGCCCAGGAGTTCCTGAGGTTCCTCCTCGACGGGCTGCACGGGGAGGTGAACCGCGTGCTGGTGCGGCCGCGGGCCAGCGCCGACACCCTGGACCACCTCCCGTGAGTTGGGGATAGGGCACGGGGGGCCGGGGGCTGCCCCAAAAGGGGGTGGGCAGCGGCACCCAGCACCATTCTGCCTCTCCGCCTCGCAGAGACGACGAGAAGAGCCGCCAGATGTGGAGGAGGTACCAGGAGAGGGAGGACAGCAGGGTCAGCGGTGAGCAGGGCACTGGGGAGAGGTGGGAGGGGATGGGGGGGGTTGGGGGGTCTCATCCTTCTTCATCCCATCCTGCTTTATCCCATCCTCCTTTATCCCATCCCTCTTCATCCCATCCTTCATCCCGTCCTTCTCCATCCATCCTTCTTTATCCCGTCTTTCTTTATCCCATCCTTCCTGATCCCATCCTTCATCCCATCCCTCTCCATCCCATCCCTCTTCATCCCTCCCCTTTTCATCCCATCTTTCATCCCATCCCTCTCCATCCCATCTTTCTTTATCCCATCCCTCTCCATCCCATCTTTCATCCAACCCCTCTCCACCCCATTTTTCTCCATCCCACCCCTCTCCACCCCACCCTTCATCCTATCGCCCCCAGACCTCTTCGTTGGGCAGCTGAAGAGTTCCCTGACCTGCAGCGAGTGCGGCTACTGCTCCACAGCCTTCGACCCCTTCTGGGACCTCTCCCTGCCCATCCCCAAGGTGAGGGGTCCCCGCTGCCCCCCCCAAAAAAACCTCACCCTGCATTCCCTGCCCCTGAGCTCTCCCTGCTCCCGCAGAAAGGCTACGGCGAGGTGACGCTCATGGACTGCCTGCGGCTCTTCACCAAAGAGGACGTCCTGGATGGGGACGAGAAACCGGTACGGGGCATGGGATTGGGGGCACGGGGGGGGGATTTTGGCGAGCAGGCTGAGCCCTCACCCCGCTGTCTGCGCTGTTTGCTGCCCGCAGACCTGCTGCCGCTGCAAGGCCAGGACGAGGTGCACGAAGAAATTCAGCATCCAGAAGTTCCCCAAAATCCTGGTGCTCCGTATCCTTTGCGCCGCGGGTGCTGCTGGAGGGAGGTGTTTGGGTTTTTTTTTTGTGTGTGTGTTTTTTTTTTTTTTTTGGGGGGGTCCCCGCCTCCTTAACATGCTCCCCCCCAGACCTGAAGCGCTTCTCGGAGGCGCGGATACGAGCCAGCAAGCTCACCACCTTCGTCAACTTCCAGCTGAAGGACCTGGACCTGCGGGAATTCGCCGCGCAGAGCTGCAGTGAGTGCCGGGGCCGTGCCCATGGGGGTGTCCTGGGAGGGGGCAGAGGTTTGGGGTGGGGGCTTCAGACCCCTTTAGGGGGTTTATCCCGCTGAGCACCACCCTGGCCGCCTGCAGACCACGCCGTTTACAACCTCTACGCCGTCTCCAACCACTCGGGCACCACCATGGGGGGACACTACACCGCCTACTGCAAGAGCCCCGTCTCCGGAGAGTGGCACAGCTTCAACGACTCCCGGTGAGGCCCTGGAGGCTGGGGGACGACGAGGGGGGAGGGAGCACTCTGTGGGACCCCCCCGCCGCTCACCACACCCCTCCTGTCCCCGCAGTGTCACCCCGATGTCCTCCAGCCACGTGCGCAGCAGCGATGCCTACCTGCTCTTCTACGAGCTGGCCAGCCCGGCCTCCCGCATGTAGCCCCCCCGGGCACCCCCCCACGGAGCTGGACACCCCCCCAGGAGCTGGACACCCCCCCGGAGCTGGACACCCCCCCAGGATTTCGGCTTTTAGCCCCCCAAACCCCCCTTTTGGGTGCAGCTTGGAGGCACGGAGGGGCCGCAGCAGGAGGCAGCCGGGAGCAAACCCCCCCAGCTGGGGGCTGAGGGCAGGACCCAGGCAGCTCCAGCGCCCCCCCGATGGTTGGTTTTTACCTTGGGGTAGGTTTTTTTTCTCTTTTTTTTTCCGTTTTTTATTTTTTTTCTTTTTGCTGTGTAATAAAAAACCCCGAGAGAGGGACTCGGCGGGCGTGGGGCTGCAGGGAGCACCCGGTGCTGGGGGGACCCGCGGTGCCATCCCCGAGGATCCCTCAGCTGCCCCAAAACTCCTGGCCAAGGACTTGCAGCCCTCCGGACACCTTCCCAAGCCCAAATCCCGACCGATGGACCTGAGGGAGGAATTTCTCCGGACTTCTTTTCACAGCCGGGGGTGCTGCAGGTGGGTGTTCACCTGCCTCCTCATACGCCGGTGCCTTAAACCATCCGGGGGGTGGCACGGGGGTGCCCGTCCCCATAAAGGGTAGGGGACAGCGGCTCCCTGGGACTGTCTGCAACCGAGGAGCTCCCCCCGAAACCAGGAAGCCCCCTGGGGATGCTCGTGCGTGTCCCCCCCTCTGGCCCCGCTGCTCCGTCCTCCGGCTAGCGATCGCCAGTGGCCTTTTTTAGCCTTTTTCTCTAATTTATTCTCCTCCCCATCCCGCCCTGCCCGAGGTCCCCGGGCTGGGGCAGCGCTGCTGCTCGGCAGGTGGCTCGTTTACTGTGTAAGCAAGATGGGCAGGATGTGTCTCGTACCAGGGAGACTTCGCGCAGGAATAAATCGGAAGCTGGAAGCGGCGTGTGCCTGGCTGGAGAGGGACGGGGGCTGTGGGGTCAGCAGGGAAACTGAGGCAGCCACCCCATGGGGACAAAAGGGGAGGTGGTGGCCACGGCAGGGCCCTCTCCTGCATCCAAGGGAGCTTTTTTTCCTCCTCTGGTCCTCCAGCAGCCGCGCTCTGCCCCAAAATACCCTAAACAAAGCCCTCTTTCTGCCTGGCTCAAGCACGGGGCTGGCAGCTGGGCATTAAGGGGCAGTGGGGACGCAGGCAGCGGGGTTTGGACACCCAGCACGGGGAGATGTGGGGTCGGGAGGGACGTGCTCAGCCCGGGATCCCCATCGCAGCCCCTTTGGGGACACGTGGAGGCACCGGGAAAACCGAGCGGCCACTTTGGGAACCCCAAAAGAGGCTCCCCGAGCTGTGGGGTGGGCTCGCAGCTCTGGAGGGAGCACACGTTCCCCTTTAAGGTGCTGGGATCTCCGTGCCAGGGCCTGACCTCGGCATCCTCAGCTGAGCTGGATTAACGGGGCAGGGGGAAGGGGCCGGCGGAGGGAACGGGGCTGGGGCCGCCCAGGGCTCTCCGCGCAAACTTTTGGGGTCTCCACAAGTTTTGGGGTCTCCGCGGGGCGCAGCTCGTGCCGGCTGCCATGGGGACGGGCGGGGAGGTGCGGGGGGCACCTGGGGTGGCCGTGGCACAGCGGGGAGGATTTTAACCATGCTGGGAAGCGCCTGGTGCCATGAAGGATTTCACCGAGATCACGCTTTGCCCCGAGGCTCTGGAGCACAGCAAGGTAGGGCCGGGTTTGGGGAGCTGCCCCACGGGTCCCCCACGGTCTCTGCGCGTCCCCACACCACCGTCCTTCTGTCCCTCGTCTTTTTCGCCCAGACCAAGTTCTGCAACCCCGTCTTCAAGGGCGAGGAGCCCCCAGGAACGTCCCCAGACAAGGATGGGGTCAGCCCCACAGCCCCCCAGGATGGCCTCGGTACCCGCATGGGGTTTGTGCGCCGGGCTGTGGGGCTGCCCGGGGGTCCCGTGGGGCACAAAAGGGTCTCAGGGGGGGCAAAAGGGTCTCAGGGGGGGCAAAAGGGTCCTAAAGGGGACAAGAGGCTGGGCTCAGCCAGCTGGGGAGGGGGTGGCGGGGTGGGGGCACTTTGGCACCGTGCTCTGCCCGCTGTCCTCGCCCTCCCGCAGGCCGGCAGCTGTGGGGCCGGGTGGGTGGAAGGTACCGGGCCGACTGTAGGTTCACCTGGCTCTGCGTGGCCCTGATGAGCGCCGTCCTCCTCTTCCTCATCGCCCTCCTGCTGGCCATCGTCATCCACCGTGAGTGCGGGGCTGGGGGGGCCGCGATGTGTCCGTGGGGATGGGGACACGGAGCTGGCTCCTGGGGGGGCTCAGGGCACGGCGAGGACACCCGTCCTGCTCCAAACCTCCCCAAAAAGGGGGGTCCCTGTGTCCAGGGACCCCACACGTGGGGCTGGGTGGGCTTCCCGAGCCCCCTCCCCACACCGCAGCCACTCCTCACCCCGCGCACAGAGCTGACGTCCCCGCGGCCCCCCAGCTCCCCCGCCGCCGCCCTGCCCGCCCGTGGCACCACCACCAGCCCCGCAGCACCCACCCCGAGACCTCCCCCGGCCCCAAAAACCACCTCCACCCCAACCTGGAGCCAGCCTCGTGCAGCCAGCACGCCACCACCACCGGGTAAGCCCCACACACCCCGGCACGGCGTCACCCTGAGGTGCCGGCTCACCGGGTGCCCCCTGTCCCCCTGCAGCCTGCGGTGGCACCCTGCGGGGTCCCGAGGGCTCCTTCAGCTCCCCCAACCACCCCGGCCCCTACCCGCCCCACGCGCTCTGCGTCTGGCACATCGAGGTGGCGGCCGGGCTCGCCATCCAGCTGCGGATGGAGGCGTTCAGTGTGGAGGGCACGGCATCCTGCCTCTTCGACCGCCTGGAGCTCTACGAGGAGCAAGGGGACGGCGCCGCGGAGCCAGCCCCAGCTCGGGGGGGCACCGCCAGGTAGGATCCGGGAAGGATTCGGCACCCCAACTTTTGGGGTGGGGGCGAGAGGAGACGCTTCGGGATGGTCCCCCCAGGTTCTGCGGCAACGTGGTGCCCCCCACCTTCAACACCAACTCCAACCTCCTGCGCGTCACCTTCGTCTCCGACGGCAGCGTGGGCGCACCGGCTTCAGCGCCCACTACCGTGCCGTGGCCCCCGATGAGAGTGAGCACCCCCAAAACCTTCCCAGGAGCAGGGGATTTGGGGCAGGGGGTGCGCAGAGCACGGCCACCAGCCCTGCGCCCTGGTACCCCGCAGAGAGCTGCGCCTGGGACGAGCATTTGTGTGACCGAGGGCTTTGCATCCGCCTGGGCTTCGTCTGCGACGGCTTCCACGACTGCGAGGACCGCAGCGACGAGGCCAACTGCAGCCTGAAGCACAAAGGTGGGCCCGGGGAGGGGGGACGGGGGGGAGAAATGGGGCGTAAGGAAAGGGGCCGGGGGTACAGCCCCATGGTGTGTGTGTCCCCAGAGTGCGGGGGCCCGCTGACAGCCCTGGAGGGGCATTTCTCCACCCCCAGCCATCCCCAGCCCTACCCGCACCAGCAGGTGAGCCGAGGGGGAGGAGGAGGAGGAGGAGGAGGAGGAGGGTGGGTGGGGAGGAAGGCTTCCTCCCATCTGAGGGGTCAGCGGGTGCCCCTGCCCGGCTTGACGGTGTCCCCCCGCCCCGGTAGCTGTGCCTGTGGCAGATCTCGGTGCCCGTGGGCCACGTGGTGGATCTGCGCTTCCACAACTTCAGCCTGGAGCCGCACGAGGACTGCAGCTTCGACTTCGTGGAGGTGCACGACAGCGCCGGCACCGGGGCCGCCAGCCTGATGGGCAGGTACCCCCCCCCTCCCCTCCCCAAATCCAGCTCCCACGGCTCAGCCGGGGAAACCAAGGGCTGGCAAGGACGTGCTGCTAAAGGACGGGTTTTGGGGGCATCCCGGGTGGCCCCGTTGCCCGTCTGACCCCATCCTTTGCCCCGTGGCCCCGCAGGTTCTGCGGCCACCAGCTGCCACCCTGCCCTGACCTCCTCGCGCCACGTCATGACCGTGCTGTTCGTGGCGGATGAAGGAGTGGCAGACGACGGCTTCTTCGCCACCTACCAAGCCCGCAACGCCACGGAGAGTAGGTGGCAGGGCTGTGCGGCCCGTCCCCGGCGGGGTTCAAGGCCGAGGCTGAGCAAAACTGTCCCTTTGTCCCCCCCCGTCCCCCCCGCCCCGCAGAGACCTGCAGCCCTGCCGAGTTCTCCTGCGGCAACGGCGAGTGCCGGGCGCTGGAGTCGGTGTGTGACGGCTGGCACGACTGCCCCGACGGCACCGACGAGCTCAACTGCACCAGGGTCTCCTACCCGGCCTTCGGTGAGCCCCATCTGGAGGGATTTCACCCCTTTCCCCCTAAACCCACCCCCAGGGGATCCCCCCGGAAAGCGGTGCCCCCTCCCCGCCGGTGCCGGTGCCAGAAGCGCAGCACCTCTCCATGCGGCAGGCTCCGTCTGCGAGCCCGTGGAGGTGGAGATGTGCCTGGGGCTGGGCTACAACGCCACCTCCTTCCCCAACATCTGGCTGGCCATCCCGGACCAGGAGGGGGCCGCCGAGGTGCTGCAGGACTACCAGGTGAGCCGGGGGGGCTGGGGGCGGCTCGGCCACCCCGTGCCAAGCTCGCCCACCCCGTGCCACGCTCACCCAGCGCCGTCCCGCAGACGCTGATGGAGCTGGCCTGCTACCAGCACCTCCGGCTCCTCATCTGCAGCCTCTTCGTGCCCAAATGCACCCCGGACGGAGGCGTCCTGCAGCCCTGCCGTGCCGTCTGCCTGGCGGCCGAGCTGCGCTGCCAGCAGTCCCTGGGGCTCCTCGGCATCCTCTGGCCCATCAACTGCAACATCCTGCCCGACTCCAGCGACCCCGTGGAGTGCTTCCAGCCCTGAGCCCCCCAGCGCGAACCCTCCTGCCCCAAACCTTCCTCTCCCCTTCTTCCAACTCCTGTCGTGTCCTGCCCCAGAGCCAGGGCATCCTCTTAGGGCTCAGCACCCCGGTGCCATGGGATTTCCCCCAGGACTGAGTCCCTGGAGAGGGGCTGCCCCTCCCTGGACTTGCTACGGGGAAAGATTTATGGTGGGGGTCCGTGCCCAGGGGTTGGAGCTGCCCCCATGGGGGTCTCAGCATCTCCAGGCTCTGCCCAGCCTCTCCGACAGCTGCTAGCCCGGCAGGGGAAGGGTTAATGCCCCCCAAATTGAGGGTCCCCGTGTCCCCAAGACCCCGGAGCCGGCAGAATAAACAGCGTGAGCTGCTGAGGATCCTGGTGGAGGGCTCGGGGAGGGGGTCTGGTGCCAGCAACCCCACAGCAGGGAACTCCTGCTCCAGCCAGGGCTGTGGCCGTGCTGGCTGTGCTGGCCACAGGCCACCCCGCTGGCCACAGGGCTGGCAACGCCCCGTGGCCATAATCCAGCCACCAGCTAGCCAAAAACTCCAACCCCATCACACCTGGGGTGAGGGGGGCGAGGAGCCAGGTGGCCCCGTGCCAGCACCCAGCCCTGGGCACCCACACCCACGGGTGCCACCCCCCCAGCAGTGTCCCCTGGGTGCTCCCGGTGCTGGAGGGGGTTAAAGGCAGCCTGGGGGCTCCCCAAAAAGCACCCAGGTGCACACCCTGGGGATCCCTGCCTGCTGCCACAGCCCCCCAGGCAGCTCCTCCAGCACCCATGGGTGCCCCCAGGGTGGCGGTGCCAACTTGTGTGCGCCCTGAGCCCTCTCCGTGCCTCATCCCTGCTCACAGCTGGGGCACCGAGGGCTCCACGAGGGCTCCACGTCCCTCTTCCAAGCTGCCTGCCTCCGCTGGGCTCCCCTCTCCTGCCCTTTCTCCCATCCCGCTCTTCCTTGGGCCATTTTCTCCCCTTTTCCCCCCTCCATCTGCCCCCAGCAGGGTGGTTTTCGCCCCGCTCCTCCTCTCCCTTCCCCCTGCCCAACCGCGCTTCCCACACCGTGGGGATTATTTTTCTTTTTTTTTTTTTTTCTCCTTTTTTTTTTTTTTCCCCTTGTCTTGTAGCTTTTGGCTCCCGGGGCCCGTGGCGATTTCCTTTGGAGTTTGGGAGGAGAGACGTGGGGAGGAGAGAGGGGGGGAGAGGCTGCCTCTCCGAGGGCCTTCGTCAGAGCGAGGAGCTGGGGAAGAGCCCGCAGCCCGGCCCCGCCGCAGCGCAGGAGCGGTGAGTGGGGACCCTATGGGGGTCCCGGCTGCGGCAGCGGGGTGGAGGAGAAGCCCCTTTCCTCCTCCTTTTTCCTCCCCGTTCACCAAGGAGACGAGAAGCAAGGCCACGGGGAGAGAGGGGCCAACGCTGTGCCGGTAGCCGAGAGGGCTGGGGGCAGCGGGGTGGTCCCGGCCCTCAGGGTGGTCCCGGCTGTAGGGTGGTCCCGAAACAGGCCCCATAAAACTCGGGATGCTGCTGCCCCAGCTGGCTGTGCCGCGGGGAGCCAGCCGGGAGCCGAGCGGAGCCGCCGGCCGTGGGGATGCTGCCAAGGGCAGGGCCGTGCCGCAGCCCCGAGCTCCTCGAGTTCCCCAAACTCTTGGAGTTCCCCGAGCTGCCGCCCCACCACGCATGACCTGAACCCTCATCTTCCTCCTGCAGCACCCCAAAACCAGGCTCAGAGCTGCCACGGCCGCTCCGAGCCCCTACACGCAGCCGGCACCTCCTGCGGGTGTCCCCTCAGGGTCCCCTCCCCGTGCCACCCGCTGCCCGCGGCGCCCCCCCAAAGATTTTTGGCTCGGGGGTGGGCAACGGGGATGCTGCGGCAGGTGCAGCCGGCCCCGAGCACTTGCCAAAAAGGCAAAAAAAAGGGGAAAAAAAAAAAAAAAAGAAGGGGGGGCAGCTGCAGGGTGGTGGTTGCCTGCCCGTTTCGAGCCCTGCGCGCAGGGGTCTGCGGAGCTGTTATGTTTCTCTGCCCCCCTGCAGCCCCCCCACGGCAGACAAGATGAAGCTGCTCCTCCTCTTCCTCCTCCTCCTCCTCCTCGTGGGCAGCTCGGTGCAGCTGGAAGACAACAAGATCCCCAGGCTGTGCTCGGGGCAGCCGGGCATCCCGGGCACCCCGGGGCTGCACGGGGGCCAGGGGCTGCCGGGCAGAGACGGCCGAGACGGCCGGGACGGGGCCGTGGGGCTGCCGGGGGAGAAGGGCGAGATGGGCCCACCTGGTAAGGAAGGAGAAATCCCATAAAGGGGAGCCCACTCTGCATTGCCAAACAGGGAGAAAATCCCCCAAAAAGAGCCCCTTTCGTGCCACCACCACCCCCTCCAGTCCTGCTCCCCACTGCTGGCACTGCCCCATTTCCCCCGTCCCCATCCTTCCCTTCCACCTCCCTCTTCAGGAACCCCAAATGTGGGTGCCTCGTCCATCCCCTGGCTCCTTGGGGGGGTTTCCCCCACCCTCAGGGGGTCTCCCCAGTGACCCCACACCACGCACCCACCACCCCATAACCACCCAACCCCACAGCACTCGGGGGGGGGTTGATTTAGGGGATCTGTCACAAGCACCTGAGGACGACACCATCCCCATCCTTCCCCCCAGGAGCTCCGGGGCCCCGCGGGGAGCCGGGCAGCCCCGGCGTGGACGGCGTGCACGGCGAGAAGGGGGCGCAGGGCGAGTGCGCCGTGCCCCCCCGCTCAGGCCTTCAGCGCCAAACGCTCGGAGGCTCGCAGCCCCCCGCCAGCCGATCAACCCATCCTCTTCGACGTGGTGCTGGCCAACGAGCAGGGCCACTACGACCCGGCCACGGGCAAGTTCACCTGCGAGGTGCCCGGCCTTTATTATTTCGCCGTCCACTGCCACCGTCTACCGTGCCAGCCTGCAGTTCGACCTGATGAAGAACGGGCAGTCGGTCGCCTCCTTCTTCCAGTACTACGGGAACTGGCCCAAGCCCACCTCGCTCTCCGGGGGCGCCCTGGTCCGCCTGGAGCCCGAGGACGAGGTGTGGGTGCAGGTGGGGGTCGGGGACTACAGCGGTTTCTACGCCAGCGTCAAGACGGACAGCACCTTCACCGGCTTCCTCGTCTACTCCTACTGGCACAGCTCCGCCGTCTTCGCCTGAGCCCGGGGATGGGGACGGGGACACGGGGGGTGCGCGCCCCTTCCCCTGCTCGGGCACGGCGCGGGGAGGTGGCAGGGGGTGGTTGGAGAGGAGGTGGGGGGCTCGGCGTCCTCGCCCTGCTCCGCTGCGGCGCCTGGAAGGGGGCAGGATGCGGCCCCTGGTTGCACTGCGTAGGATTTCAGCAGTTTTTATCTCCCTCCCCAGCTCCAGGGCAGGAGGAACGAGCTGGAAAAAATCAAATAAAAGTGTGCCCTGAGCTTCTTGCCATCGCCCCCCCCTGGCACGCAGCACCCCCGGGGTTGGGCTCAGCTCCCTGCGTGCGGGGCGAGCCTGGGCTGCCTGGCCTGCTGGCACGGCGAGGGACCCCCTGCCCGTGACCCCAAACCCCTGCCCGTGACCCCAAACCCCCACCCGTGACCCCAGACCCCTGCCCATGACCCCAGACCTCTGCCCGTGACCCCAAACCCCCGCCCGTGACCCCTCTCCGCTGCCCTTCTCCGGCCACCGCAATAAAAGGGTCCTCACCCCTACCTGTGCCTGCTGCGTCCCTGCCTCTGGGGCTGGTTGTGGGGGGCTCGGGACCCCCCCCCGGGGGGCTGCAGCCCCTGGCAGGGGGGGCAGGGGGGGCGCAGAGCCGGCGGGGAGCCGCTAGGTGGAGGCATCGGCGCCGCTTTGCGCCCTGCGCTCCCTCCGTGCGCCCTTGCCCTGGTTTTGGGGAGGGGCCGGGAGGGGGGGGGTTGGCATTTCCCAGGCAGCCCCCCCCCGGTCCTGGCTGCCCGTAGGTCGGGGGAGAAGCCCACCCTGCCCCCGGTGCCTCGGGGGGCTCGTTGTGGACCCCCCATAGGTTGGGATGTAGTGGGAGCGCGGTGACCCGGCGCCGGGAGGGGACCCTATTTTTAGCCGGGGGAGCGAAGGGCTTCCTCATTCCGGCCCCAAATTGGTCCCGCGGGGATTTGGGGCGATCCAGGGAGGGGGATTCTGGATAGGGGGGGCGACTCCTTCACCCAGCGGGACGAGCAAACCCACGGTCCTACAGAGATAGGGATTTGGGGTCGGGGGCACCTCACTCCGCGTCCCACCTGGGTGTCGCACCCTCGGGGTGTCCCCACCCCATAGGGGCTCTGGGGCCGGGGCTGAAGGCCCTACAGCTCCCCGTCCAGCCCCGGAGCAGGATTGGGTTGCTGCGGAAGCGTGTGTTTGGGTTGAAATCGGCCTTTTTTTGTCAGCGGAGCCGCTCGGGGATAAACAGGGCAGCTCGCCGGGCGGAACTGGGAGGGAGAGGACTTTCCTTGGGACCAGGCCAGGGGAGGTTGTGGGGTGGGGGGCTGGGAGCATCCTCTGAGGCCCCATCACATCGTGGGGGGAGCGCCCAGCACCACGCTGAGCCCCGCAGCTTCTGGAGAGGCTCTGGACCCGCTGGGAGCTTTGTGGGGTCGGGGGGGGACCCTCGGAGACCCCCCCCAGAGGAACGCGAGGGTGGCTGCTGCAGCCTGGGGAGGGGGATTAGGAAAGGATTGGGATTAGGGGAGGGGAGCCACAGCAGGCCCTAATTTCTGGCAGCTCCTAACGAGCACCCCGAGCAAGGAGGGGGCAGAGCCCTGCTCCCAGCTGAGCCCTGGCTTGGGGAGGGGGGGGGGCACCACCTCTTTGGCCAGGGCAAACCCTATAAAAGCGCCGGGCTGAGCAGGCAGAGCCTGCAGGGCAGCTGGCAGAGGCAGCGGTTTGTGCAGAAATGTTTATTTAAAAATAAATAGGGGGAAAAAAAAATAAATAAATACAACAAAGGGCTGGCGGCTCTTCCCGGAGCAGCTCGGTGGCGCGCCAAGGGCAGGGTCCCCAGCAGGTGCTGAGCAGCTCCTCCTGCAGCAATGGGGGGGGGCTGGGAGCCAGCAGGAGCCCCCCCAAATCTCAGCCTGATAGGGCTGTGCGAGGAAGAAGCCAAAAGGATCGCCCCCGAGACTCCCGCAGAGACCCCATCCCGAATCCTCCCCGGGGAGGGGAAATGCCCCCGACGGCGAAGGGTAAGGGAGCGGGTAAGGAGGGCTCTGAGCTGGGAAAATGGGGGGGCTAAACCTCAATGGGGTGGGCCAGTGGGGTGTTTGGGGGGGATTTGGGGCCGTAGGGACAAAGCAGGGCTGGGGGGGACCCTGCAGCACACAGGTATGGGGCTGCCTGTGCCGGGGTCCTGCGGCTGTGCTGGGAAATGGGCACCCATGGGGGCAGCAGGAGCCCCCAAACAGCGGGGTGGGGGCAAACAGGGGGGGGTTGTGGGCTCGGGGCCCCTCCAAGGGGCTGCAGCCGTGTTGGGATGGGGCAGCCACTGTCAGCATTTGTCACAAATCCAGGCTCTGGTGCTTTTGGGACCTGGAGCCACCCCTGATGTGCGGGTGCCAGCAGGTCGAAGGGGGTGAGGAGCTCAGGATCCCAAAACAAGGGCACAGGACCACGAGCACGGACCCCAGAAGAGCAGAGCCCGGCCTCTTCATCAATCCCAGCAGGGAGAACCCCGTGTCCTGGTGAGAAAACAGCTCGGGGAGGGCCGATACCCCCAGGCCTCAGGTGGCCCACCCTAAAGGGGCTGCAGGAGGCCTCCACCCCCAGCCACATCCCCGATGCAGCTGGCTGGGATCCAGCTCCGCTCCCCCAATAACGAGGGAGCCAAGCTGGTGCCGGGGAGCAGCCCAAAGCCCCCCCGTGGTCCTGCTGCTGATCGTCACCTGCTCCCTCCCCACCGGCCCGGAGCCTTTATCCCTGCCAGCTCCCCGCTGTCCCCGAGCCCTGGCTGCAGCTCATTAGGGCCGGGGGGCTGCAGCTGGGCACACAAAGGGGTCTCAGGGATTTTCCCGAAGCCTGGGGGGCTTCCTTGCCAGCAAGCTGTCAGCCTCCCCCCCCTCTGTGCCCGTGAATGCTCCTCCAGCCCCGATGCAGCTCCTCCAGCCCCGATGGGCTGAAACCATCTCTCCCTCCGGCTGCGAGGTTCCCAAAAAAAAAACCCCAATTTTGTGCCCCTTATGGCTCTGTGCAGCCAGGCCCCGTGCCAGGGCAGTGTCCGGACGCTGCGGCCGCCCCGTGGATGCATTTCCCTCCGGTAATTGCTGGTGGCTCGGGTTGTGAGCGAGCCAAGTGCGTGCGGGACGGCTCCCGGGGGAGAGCTGTGTCCTTCACAGCCCGTCCTCGCCCGGCAGCACGGCCGCAGAGCCTCTGCATCCCCCGTTTTGGGGGTGCAGGGGGCATCCCCAGCATCCCAAGGACACGCTGGGGGTGCCTCGGTGTCCCCCGGTGCCATCCCCATACAGCCAGAACCCAGCCGGGCTGCGCTCCTGAGCCTGTGGGGTCAGGGACAGGCTTCCCCAGAGCCCCCCCCAGGGAAACACATCCCAAAAACGAGGCAGTTTGTGCTGAAGGAGACTTTAATCCGCTCGGTATCTAGCTCGTAGTGCAAACAGGTAAACGGAAGGCGAAGCTTTCTCTCTTCTTACAAACAGGCCCGAAAAGAACAAGCGTGGCTGCTGGCATTACAAAAAAAAATAAAATAATAACAATAAATCAAGTTTGCAGGGAGAAACTGCAGTCCTGGGAAGGTGTCCTTCGTCCCGAAGCCCCCGGAGGAGGTGTTGCACCCCAAAATCTGGCTGGCCCCGAAGTTCTGCTGGGTGCTGTGTGCCTGGGGAGGGCAGGGAGCTCTGCACGCCCCAAAACGAGGAGGATGTGCCCAGGGAGCTGCTCCCAGGCAGGACCATGCCCCGCCACAGCTCAGGTTTGCAGTGCAGAGGCATCTCCCAGCCCAGCCCCTCTGCTGCCTCCGTTTTGGCTAAAAATCACCGAAATCGATTAGTTTGGAGCAGAACGGCACGGGCCACGCCAGCCGCCCTCAGGCTCCTGGCTCACAGTTGAGGAGTCGAGGCTCTTTCCAAGCTGGCTCCAGCCAAAATTGGCTCCGGCGCGTGGCTGAGCCCAGGCGAGCGGCTGGGAAAGGAAAAACTCTTCGGTGCGAGGCGTTCTTGGGGGCCACGAGGCACCTCAGCCCTCCCCAGCGAGGTGTGCAGGGCCCCGCGAGGCTTTTTGGGCCCCTCTGTACCAAAACCAGCTGCGTTTTTGCATTTCGGCCAGGCGGCAAGACAGAAGAGAAGCGTAACCCTCGCTGTGGTCCTGGTACCGCTCCCCACGCGTGTGCCTGGTGCTGGAATGTCTCGGGGGGCTCCCCGAGGATTTGGGGAGTCCCCTTCCCTCCCGAAGTCACCCCCTGGAGAGCTGGAGAGCGCCTGCCAGGAGCCTTGCAGGAGGGGTGTGCGTTGTGCCCTGCGCTGGGAGCTGCCGCGTTTACGTGGCAGGAGGAAGAACGAGCTGTAAATGCAGTCTGCCAGGTAGTTTTTTGGCCAAATCTCACTAAGAAAAAAAAGAAAAACAACAACAAAACCTCCCTTGCCTTGCACTAGGCCCAGGAGGGCTGAGCCTTCACCCTTTCAGCTTTGGCTAGGAGGGAGCCGAGCATCCTTCCGTGCTCTGCTTCGGGTCTGGGACCGCTGCAGGCTCAGGCAACGGGCCCTGAAACAGCAAAAGCTGTCAACACCAACAAAAAAATAAAACCCTCCCTCGGCTTGCTGCGGTGATCACCTCGTGCGCTTGCTAGCGAGAGCCACAACCGAGTCACGTCCCAAACGTGGCTGTGACAGACGCCCCCGGCAGCCTCTTTCAAGCCACCCTGAGTTCTTTGGGAACTGCTGGGGGCAGCCCCGGCCTGGTGGGAGAAGCACGGAGACGTTCACAAGTAGACGTTGAGCGTCTGGAGGATCATCTGGCGGCACAGCGGGCAGTTGCGCTGGTAGACGGCCTGCTGCAGGAGGACTTCTGTGCACTCCTGGCACAGGCACAGGTGCCTGCAGGGCAGGAGCAGCACCGTCTTTGTCTGGTCCTGACAGATGACGCATTTCTTCCGTTCCTCTTGCTCTTTCAGCAGCACCCAGGGGTCGTCATCCGGCATCCCGTCCCCAGCTGCCACGTTCAGCTGCTCTCTCCTCGGAGCTTTCCCCCGGGAGGTGCCGGGCTCTTCCCTGGGGTTGTGCAGCCGCTGTCCTGCCGCAGAGCTTCTCCCCAGCGCCGGCCGTGCCTGCGGGCCCCGCTGCGTGTCCGGCTGCTCCTCCTGCCCCGCCACGGCCAGCACCAATCTCCCCGGTGGGGGCACAGCTCCTCGCCGCTCACTGTCCCGGTTCCTGGTTCTCCCTCCTCGGCTCCAGTCGGTGACCTGCAGGCTCCACTCCACCATCCTGCGCCAAGCCTGCGAGGTGAGGGCCATGCCCAGCGCCAGCACCGCCAGCTGCCACAGCCTCCAGGCCTCCCGCTGCAGGCGGCGGCAGGCGGGCAGCACCCGCAAGTGTCCCACCATCACCCACAGCACCCCGGGGTTCACAGCAACAACCCCAACGCCGATAAGAACCAGCAGCAGCCCCAACCCGTACACATTGACGAAAAACACCCCGATGAGCAGCTCGGCGAGGGAAGCCAACGTCTCAAAGGCTACACGGCATGGAGCCCACAGGAGGATGGAGAGGGCGACGGCGCTGCTGGAGACGTGTGCCAGGCAGGCGGCCAGCAGCTCGGCGAGGCGCAGCGCGGGGCTGAGCGCCGCGTCCCACAGGGCGGGCAGGAGGGCGCCGAGGCTCTGTGCGCCCAGCAGCCCCACGTTGAGCGCGCTGTTGAGGAGATAAGCCAACAAGCTGCCCGCGATGGCCACCCCGTCGCACGCCTGCCTCCACGCCGCCTGCCCCGAGCCCAGCAGCCCCGCCAGGCTCTGCCTCAGCGCCTCCTTGCCCCTCAGCACCAGCAGCTGCCCCAAAGCCTTCGTCCCCTCCATGGCTGCCCAGCAGCCCCTCAGCGCCCCTAAAACCACTTGGAGCGCGCCGCCCGCTGCCCACATCAGCCCGTGCCAGCAGGCTGAGGGCAAGCTGGTGATTAGATTCAGCAGCCACAGCAGCGCGGCGAGCAGCGAGGAGACGAGGAAGAAGTTGAGGTCGAGCAGCAGCAGCAGCACGTCCAGGGCCAGGCGCAGGCCGCGCAGCAGCAGCAGCAGCGCCATGGTTGCTAAGGGCCCCGCCTCAGCGGAGGGCGCCCGCCGCCATCTTGTTGTACGCGCCGCCCGCGCGCCCCCCGCGCCTGGGCGCCGCCATCTTGTTGTCGGAGCCGCCGCAGCCGGGTCGCCCGCCTTATGGGCGCCGCCATCTTGTCGCCCGCCCCGCTGCCGCTGCAGCCGCCGCCGTCGCCGGGCCCCCCGCTGCTGGGCGCCGCCATCTTGTCGCGCCTGCCGGCCAATGGGAGGGGAGGTTGGGGGCGCGGCTCGCCTGCCATTGGGCGGTTCGTGAGACGCGGCGAGGCGAGGAGGCTACGATTGGATGGCGGCGGCGGTCGGGTACCGCCCATTTTAAAGGGGCAACGGCGCTTAAGGCGGGCAGGCGGTGGGGCCACCCATGGGTGTGATGAGTGCGGCGGTCTCAGCCCTGCCACCCGCTGGCGGGGCCGGGGCCGGGGCCGGCCATGGCAGCACCGCCCCAGGGGTCCCTTATGGGGCTGCTAGAGCAACCCTAAAGCCGTGGGGCTCTGCTTTGTGCAGCACGGAGGGGATCCCACCCTCACCGCCATCCCCTGGGCTGGGCACCCGCCGTGTCCCCAAGCCCTGGTGGTGGCAACGAGCCCGGCAGCCCCCAGCCCGCAGCCCCAGGGCTTTGTAGGAACGGGATCCCACGGCCCCAAAGCCACCCGAACCCCGAGGCCCCGGAGCTGGCTGGGGTGGCAGCGCCCTGTCCGTCTGTCCATCCCCATGGGGGTCTGTCCGCTCCCAGCCCAGTTGGTTTTTGGGGGTCCCTGGCCCCAAAAGGCAGCCCGCAGCCCCCCAGCGGGGTGTGTGCGGTGCCCCACGTGACGGGGCCTGAGCGGCTTTGAGCATTTATGGTAATGTTTGGGTTCCCGAGGGCCCGGCCAAAAAAAAAAAAAAGAAAAAAAAAAAAAAGAAAAAGAAAAAGGGCCGAGCAGAGGGGCCGGGCGGGCCCCATTCATTCCCCGCTGCGGGACGGACCCCACAAACCCCATAAACCCCATACACCTGCAGCCCCCTCCCCATTTCCCTGGGGGCCCAAGCAGCCCCCTGGGGAGCATGCAGGGGGTCGGAAACCCCCAAATTCTTATTTTTTTTTAATGTGGAAACACCAGATTTGCTCAAAATGGGGTTTTGGGGACCCTCTGGCAGGTCTGGAGGGGGAAAACAGGGAGCTAAAAGGGTTTGGGCAGGGTTGGGGACAGGGTTTGGGGACCCCCCCTCAGCCCCCACCTCCTCCACGGGCCCCTGGGCGCTGTAGGAAGGGTGGAGCTGGGGTGTGGGGGCTGCTGTCACCGTGCCCCTAAATCCCAAATCCCAATCCCAACCCCGGCCGGGCATTTGGGACCCTCCTTAGGGTGCTGCCCCCCCCCCATGGGTGGCCCCATCCCGCTGGATCCCGGCCAGGCGGCCCTGGGAAAGCCAAATCCCCATCCATGGGAACGTCCTGCGAGGAGAAATCCCTGCCCGGCCCCACAGCTCCCATGGGTGCTGCCGGCCTGGCGCCTTCCCCGGCGCCTCGGGGACCCCCGAGCAGCACAAAACCCTATGGAAGAGACCCCAAAATCTCTCATTGTTCCCCCCTCAGGACTTTTATCCCTTATCGCCGCTCAGATTCGGGGCAAAGGGGGCACGATGAGCACCCCGAGGCCTTATTCCTTTGGGGCCTGCGGTGTCAGCACGGGGCTGAGGACGCAAACCCCGGCCCTATAAATCCACCCCATTGTTGGGGCGGGTGCCCAGGCCCCGGCCCATCTGGCTGGGAGACAATGGGGCCTTTTTCCGTCCGGACGAAGGCCGAAGGCCGACGACGATGACAAGGAGGGGAAGATGAACTCAGCATCTTCCGAAGGAAAAGGCCGGATGACAAAAATAGCCCCAAATCCTTCCCCTCGCCGCCTGCGTGTGTGCGCGTTTGGGGTCGGGAGGCCCGGGGTTTTACACACATTAGGGCAGGACGTGGCCAAAATCACGCCCCACACGGCTGCACCTGCCCCTAGGACATTGGGGCCCCTACCCCAAAACGGGGTAAGGTTTCCCCTCAGCTGTCCTCGTCCGTCTGTCCGCCTCACCCCCCCCCAAAGCGGGGTGTCCGGGGATTGCTCCGTGCCCCATAACCATCCCTGGGGCTGCCCCACTCTCCTTTTTGGGGTTTTGGCAGTCCCCGAGCCCCCCCTCAGTGCACACAAATCCAGATGTCCCCGTCCTGCCCCCCCAGGCCGCTCACGTCCTTCCTTCCTGCGGGGACGGAGGAAGGAGCAGGGGGGGGCACAAACGGAGGCGACATTTTCCTGGGCCAGGGCATGGGGACACCAAATAGGGTCCTGTAGGGGGGTGGAGACGGGGTGCAGCCCCCCCCCGGCTGCCTGGTGCTCGCCCCTCTTTTGTCTTCCACCCCAAAAACGTCCCCAAACCCTGTGTGGGGCTGAGCCAAATCCCGGCCATTCCCCGGGGAGCAGAGACCCCTCTCGGCCCCGGGGGTGTTGTGTGAAGAGGAACAGTCCTGGGACGGCCGCGGCAGCTGGTTCCCAGCCGAAATTTTGGGTTCCTTTTATTATTTTGGGTTCCTTTTATTATTTTTGGTTCCACCCCGAGCCGTGCGAGCCCGCAGCGCGTCACCCAGTGCGCCCAGCACCCTCCTCACCCTTATCACCCCCCATCCCCGGGGCCAGGCTCATGGGGACGCAGCCGGCACCCGGAGCCCCCCACGCACCCCAAAATCCCTCCTGAGCCCCCTGAGGTGCTCCGAGCCCCCCCCCCAGCACCACAAGAGGCCACAGGGTCGGGCTCGCACCCCACGCACCCTGACCTCCCCGCCCCGGAGGCGCTGCCTGCTCGGCGCTGTTTGTTTGCCCAGCGGGGAGAAGGGTTGGAGCCGAGGCCTTTCGGCCCCAAAAAAATAAATAATCAGGCTCAAAATGAGGCAGGATTTGGGGCAGATGACAGTGGCCGAGAGCCCGAAACCCACCGGGTGCCGGGGGGGGTTCACAGCAGCTGGAGGGCGGCCAGGAAATCTTGGAAGGTTTTTCCCCCAGAAGCGTGAGTTTGGTGGGAGACAAAAAAATATAAATAAAAAATATAAATAAATAAATTAGAAAAAGCTGAAAGCTTAGAAAAATTTAACTTTAAAATAGCATTTATTTTTCTTCTTCTTTTTTTTTTTTTTGGAGCAAAAGGATCTCCGCGGAGCAGAAGCTCCCCAGGCCTGCGGCGGTCAACGGGGCTGTTTGCTCCCAGGGGCCGAGGGCTGGGAATGTCCTGCGGAGGTTTTTGGGTTTTTGTAGGGTTTTTTTTGGGACGTTTCTCTTTATTTTTGCAACGAGAACGAGCTGCTCCAGCAGCGTGCCAGCCGGCTCTCCGGCCTCTTTGTTTGCCCTGCTGGGCGCTGCTTTCTCCTGGGAACGCGGCACCCCTGTGCCCTGGGGGGGGGGGGGCATTTTTGGGGTTTGGGCGATGGATACCCCAATCCCTGCTCCCAGCAGAGCATCGTGTGTGTGAGGGGGGGGAAAACATCGGCATGCCCAGGGTTTGGGGTCCATGGTTGCAAAATTCCCCCCCCCCTTTGGTGTAGCCATGGGGGCAGCGCCCTGCACTTGTTCCCTTCTCGTTGCCATTTTAAGCAACCCATTTCGCCGGGGGGGGCAGGGGGGGGGAGAGAAATTTAATAAATAAAATTTAATCATTTCCGATGAATCATCAGGTCCATTCGGCTTGCAAAGTGGTGTTGGGGGGGGGGGGGGGGGGGGGGGGGCACGGCACGGAGCCAAAGCTGGAGGGGGGCACGGGAAGGGTCAGGGAATGGCACCGAGGGAGCCCAAACAGGGGTGCTGGGGGGGGGTCCCCAAAATGATGCCCCTGCCCTGGGGACACCCCCAGCCTGACCCCACGGGGGGGTTAGGGTGTACCTGAGAGGTGCAGCCCCTTTTTTTTTTTTTTTTTTGGGGGGGGGTCCCGAGCTGCAGGAGAAGCCGAGGGGGAAACTGAGGCAGGGCCAGGCTGCGGCAGGGGACTGGGGGCAAGATGGGGGGGTCCCGACCCCTTTTGACCCCCCCCGGACCCCCCCAGGCATCCCCCACCCCCCTTTTTTTTCCCCAAAAGAAGCTGCAGGGGGGGCTCGGGCTGCAGCGTGGGGGGGTCCCTGCGGTGGGGAGGGGGCTGCAGGTGGGTGCAGGGCACCCCGGGGGGGTGGGGTTGGGGGGGGCGCGCCCCCCACTTTGCCACTTTTCAAGGTGGGGGGGGGGCTCGGCTGCTCCAAATTTGTGGGCTTGGGCTTTAGGGTGGAGCGGGGTGAATTAGAGGGGGGGGTCCCCTGCTCCTGTAGGGTGCCCCCCCCAACCAAACAGCATTCCCCAAACCCACCCCGCCCCTCTAACCCCCCCCCCACACACCCCCAAGTTCCCACCTCCAGCGCCTGCCTGGCGGCTCGCAGCCACCGCAGCAAGCCCGGGCAGGCGGGGCCGGGCAGGAATGCACCGGGACCGGCCCCCCCCTCAGCCCCACCGTGTCCCCCCCCCCCACCCCACAACCCCCAGCCCCCTCCCGGAGCGCCCCCTGCCCACCCCCGGGGGGCTGCGCCCCGTGCGCGCCTTGGAGAGGTTGGGGGGGGACCGGGGTCAGGGCTGCGCCCTGCGGGGTGGGCGGCAGCCGCCGGGGGGGGGGTGAGGGGTTGAGGGGGGGGGGGGGCAGGTCCGGAGCCTTCCTCCTCCCCCGCTCCTCCTCCTCCTCCTCCTCCTGACGTCAGCCCGCGGGGCTCGAGCAGTCTCGGGCAGGCGGCGACGGAGGGCGATGGCTGGGGGGCGCCGGGGGGGCCCCTCCTGGGGCTGGGGTTGGGGCTGGGGTTGGGGCTGGGGGTGCTGCCTCTTGCTCTGCTGCGGTGAGTTGTTGGGTTTTTTCTTTTTTTTTAGGGGGGGGGGCGGTGTTTTTTTTTTGGGAGAGAAAGGGGCGTTTTGGGGCCGCCCGGAGGGAGCGCAGCACCTGCGGCACCCGGGGGCGCGCAGCCGCTGAGGGGTGCGGGAGGGTTTTTTGGGGACGGGGTGGGGTCGGGGGGGTGCTGGGGGGTCCTGTGGGGTGGTGCTGGACCCCCAGGAGTCCCTAGGTAAGGGGGGGGCACACGGGGACCCTCCCCCTGCTGTGTCCGTGGAGCTGCTGCGCCCCGTGCCCAGCCTCGTTCGGCACCCGGGGGGGGGCTGAAGGCGCTTTGGGGCGCTCCCTGCTGAGCCCACGACCCCCCCGAACCCCTCCCGGTCCCCCCCCATGACCCCATCCCCGTGTCCCCCTCCTCGTCCCCGTCCTGTCCCGGAGCTGACGCCCTTGGGGCACCGCCCGCTGGGGGCCAGGAGTGCCCAAATCATGGGGGGGGGGGCAGCCTGAGGGGGGGAGCAGCCCCCCAATAAACCCCCCCCGATCCCCTCTTCCCCAGCCCTGCACGCCCCCAGGCTCCGCTTCAGCCTCTGGGCATGGAGCTGGTGCCACTTTGGGGGTCCCTTTGCAGCCCCCCCCCCAAAAAAAAGATAAAGGGGTGCTCCCTGCTGGCCCCCCAGGGATGCCAGCCCGGTGGCTAGCAGCAGGGGGCTGGCACTAGCCAGGCTGCTGGGGCCAGGGTCCGTGGGGCAGGGCGCCGGGGAGCCCCCACGTGCGCTCGGGGTGCGGCGGTCAGGTTTTTGGGGCAGCATCCATCCACCCCTCGCCTTCTAAGGAGTTTTTCCCCCCCCCGGCGCTGTGTTTCTCTTGGCTTTTCACGCTCTTTCTTTTTTTATCCTTCTTTCCAGCCCGTTTTCCACTCCCCCCCACCGTGGGTAAGGGGGGGTGTGCGCTTCCTGCCCCTCGCCAAGCCCCAGGGAGGGGTCCCGGTGCTGCTCCCTGCCTCGTCCCTGCCCTGCGGAGCCGGGGAAGCACAAGGGGCTGCAGCCAAACCCTCCCCAAGCAGGCTGGGGGGCTCCCCGTGTGCCCCCCCCGGGGCAGGGAGCTCAGCCTGGAGCTGCTGGTGCCACCCTGGCCCCTCGTGCAGGGCTGGTTTTGGGGTGTTCCCACCTGGCTGCAGGGCTGGGAGCTGCGAGCTTTGCTTCTTCGGCTGCGCACGGCTTAGGGGGGGCTTTTTGGGGGGGCGCGGGGTGCCACAGCAGAGCTTTGGCCCCAGCCCGGCGAGGCTCTCCTGCAGCTGCTTTCCCCGAGAGGCACCCGGAAAAACCTGGGACACCTCCAGCACCCCTGGTGCAGCCCCAGCCCCCTGCGGTGCCCCCTTTTTTTGTGGCTGCTCCGCTCCAGGGCGGGGGGGACACAAACACACACGACCCCATGCCGCAGCCAGGCTTCTCCTTGCACACCTCGGCTCCGCGGGAGGCTGGCGGAGGGGCCGTGCTGCTCCCCACCCCTTTTCCCCGGCTCTAAAAGCAAAGCTTTGTTCTCGCGGAGCCCTGGCTGCCGGCCGGCTGTCCGCCAGCCAGATGGAAAGGCGCGAGGGGCTCTCCTCCCTTCCCCTCTCGCTCCCTCTCCGGATCTCGCCCCGGGTCCCCCGCTGGAGCTGTGCCAGGCGCTGGGTGCCGCGCTCGGGCTGCTCCGTAACGGGGTTGGAAGCTCCTAGCCCTGCCCCGGTGGCCCCAAGGGGACCGCAGCGGGGTGCGTGGGTGCGTCACCGTGTCCCCAAAACCCACCCTCCCCTCGCTCCGGGCTGCGGGTCGTGCCCAGGGGCTGCATGAGGGGCGCTTGCGTCCCCCCCTCTGCTTCCAGCAGCACTCGGGGTGTCGCTGGGTGCTCCCAAAAGGGCCGGCGAGCCCTTCTGGGGGGAGCAGGGAGGGGGCTGCAGCCCCCGTGTCCGCCTCCTCAAGGGCAGCGGCCGGGTAGGAGGGTGCCTGGTGCCAGCCGCGGATGCCAGCCATTCCCCAGCTCTGAGCTCATGCTTCTGCTGCTTTTGCCGCCAGGACGAGGGCTCGAGGGCTCCCGCTCCCAGCGGTTCAGCAGCTCCCATCTCCCAGGGGTGGCCCTGCCCAGGACCCTGCTGAGGGTTTGGGAACAGCGGGGGGCAGCGGCAGCGGCTGGGGTGCGCCCCCGGTGTGCACGGGGCTGGGGGTGGCCGGTGTCATGCCCAGGTGCCTCCGGTGCGAAGTTATTCTTTCCCGTGCGCTTGGTCCAGTTTCCTGATGTCGCTGCCTGTTTATCTTTGGGGCTTTCACCTGTTTTTTTTTTTCTGCCTCCTCCTTTCCTGCTTTGCTTCTTGTCCCTCTTCGCCTGGTGCACCGGGCACACGGAGAGCCGGGGGCCAGGGGCCGGCTTTTGGGGTACCCCGGTGGGGCTGGCGACGTGAGGCAGCACCTCTGCCGTGGCAGAAGGGCTCCCGGCTGCATGTCGGGGCTGTGCCACCGCGTACCCACTTCAGATAAAGAGCATATCACAGTCAGGGCGCTGCCCTTTGAAGTTCCCTCCCTGGCGAGGCTGAGCAGCTGATAGCGGGGCGGCTATCGGAGAGCTGTTGACACAGCTGCCTTCCTGCAGCCCTCTCGTCTCCAGCTCCCAAACCTGGGCTGGGTGCAGGTGCTGGGCTGCCGGACCCCTTCCTGGGCTCCCTGGCACCGTCCCCTCGCTGTGGGGCTGGCTGTGGGGCGTGCAGCCCCCTTTCATCCAGCGCCCGCAGTGCCAGCGTGGAGGCGGCGGCGCTCCCGGCCGTGGCATGACGCAGCCCTTCTCTGCACCATGCCCGGGTGGTGCTCAGCCCCCAGCCTCGAGGCAGGGCAGCTGCTGAGCCCGCTCCCCGCTTGGGATCGATAGCCATTACCTCCTGGAGCCGCCCTGGAGCGTGGCCAGGAGCTCCATTACTGCCCTGCAGGTCCCGGTGCCACCCGTGCCGCGGGCAGGCAGTGCCCGTGGGGCTCAGCAGGCAGAGGGGCCGCCCTCAGGAGGGAGCTGGGCGTCCTGCTTCTGGGCTGGGGATATAATCAGGGGTCCCGGGGTGGTCTCGGGGCTGTGGAGGTGTGAGCAGGACGTCCCTGCCCCCAGGTGCAGCCGGCGCTGTGCAGGTCTCCATGCCGGAGGTGGTGGAAGCGGAGATTGAGTCCACGGCCAGGATCGAGTGCGGCTTCTCCATCCCTGGGAACGGCTCCTACACCTTCATCGACTGGTTCTACGTGAGTGCCAGGGGTCTGCGGGGGTGGTGGCTGTCCCCGGGGCTCTCCATCAGCCTGTCCTTGTCCCCTCGTCCCCCAGGTGGATCGCGGCAGCCCGGTGAAGCTGCTGCGCCTGGCGGGCGGCGAGGTGCTGGAGGAGGAGACGAGCTACAAGGGGCGGCTGTCGGTGGGCGAGGACCTGGCCCTGGCCATCAGCAGGGTGACCCCGCAGGACGCCAGGACCTTCGTGTGCCGGGTCGGGGCAGGGCAGCCAGGACGTGGGCGAGAACCGCACCGAGCTCCGCGTCTACAGTGAGTGCCGGGCGGCGCGGGGACGGGGCGCATCCCGCCCCCCTCGCTCCTGACACCTCGGGTTGGGGGCTTCTTCCAGAGGTCCCCGAGACCCCTGAGATCGAGGCCAGCTCGGCCGGCGTCCCTGCGCACAGCCCCAGCACCATGCAGGTGAGGAGAGGCCCCCCCCAGAGCCCCCCGCCGTGCCGGGCTCCCTTCTCCCCGCTCCCCACGGCGGTCCCCGGGGGGCCGTGCCGTGCCCAAGGCGCTCTGTGCCGCCGCAGATCGCCCAGTGCGTGAGCGAGAACAGCTTCCCACCCGCCAACATCACCTGGTACAAGAACGGGGAGCAGCTGCAGGCTGAGGAGAACAGTGAGTGAGGGCTGGGGACGGGGCTGGGGGGTTTGGGGCCACCCAAAGAGCCCTCCCCCGCGGGCTGGGCACAGCGGACGCGTCCCCTGCAGAGGTGAAGTTCCTGGCCACGCTGACCCGCAAGTCGAGCGGGCTGTACACGGTGAGCAGCACCCTTTTTGCCGTGGTCACCCGCGAGGACCGCAGCTCCCTGTTCCACTGCGCTGTGCACTACTGGCTGCGGGGCCAGCGGCTCTCCAAAGCTTCCCGGCGGGTCAACATCACCGTCTTCTGTGAGTGAGGGGCCTGGGACTGGGTTTAGGGATGGAAGGGGGGACACCAGCACCCACCCTGCCCTCTCCCTCGTGCCCCAGACCCCACGCAGCACGTGGAGCTGCACATCGTGCCCACCGCCTGCGACTGGTGAAGGAGGGGGACTGACTGTGAAGCTGGTGTGCGAGGCCTGATGGCAACCCGGCGCCCGTCTTCAGCTTCTACAAGAAATCGGTGAGGCGTTTGGGGTCGGGAGGAGGTCCGGGCTCCTGTAGGCAGCTCCTGGCTTGCCTGTGCCTCGTCTCGTGCCCCCCGGGAGCACGGGGCTGAGGGCTGAGCGCTGCCCTGCCCGCAGCCCGAGGACTGGCAGGACGTCTCCTCCCTGGCCGACACCAGCAACGGGGTGCTGAGCCTGCACGGCGTCAACAAGAGCAGCAGCGGGCTGTACCGCTGCCAGATCCTGGACCTGGATGACATGACGCAGATGGAGAAGGAGGTGGAGCTCGTCGTCAACTGTAAGGCCCCGGGGGGATGGGGGGGGACGGGGGGGCGTGGAGCCATGGCAATGGGGCGCCCCGGTCCCCCTGCTGCGGCTGCCCTGCTCTCCGTGTCCCCCCCAGACATCGAAGGGGTGCGGGTGCAGATGGAGCCCTCCTCGCCCCTGAACGAAGGGGACAGCGTGAGGCTGAACTGCAGCGCACACAGCCCCGTGGACCTGGACTTCCAGTGGACGGACGAGAAGGTGAGCGGCACCCGGGCTCCTCCGAGGGGAGGATTTTCCCCTCTCCGCCTCCTCACCTCGCTTTCGGAGGTCCCATGGGGCAGGTTGGGGGCTCAGCGCCGTGGATCGTCCCTCCCCAACAGGGCAGGAAGGTGGCGGAGGGGAACCAGCTCGTCCTGAGGAACCTCACCTTCGAAACCTCCAGCAATTTCAGCTGCCAGGCGGTGGCTCGCAGCGTGCCGGGGCTGGAGCGCAGCAAGCAGGTGGCCGTGGCCGTTCAGGGTAAGGAATAACCCCGGGGGGAGCCCCGTGCCGCCAGCCTCAGCCCCTTTGTTTCCCCCCGTGGGGAGCCAAAGGGTTTTTTTGTGCCGTCCCCGCAGGGAAACCGCGCATCGTGGCCATCAGCTCCCCGCTCTACGTGCGGCAGGACGAGGTGGTGAACCTCACCTGCAAAGCCATCGCCTTCCCCCGGCCCTCCGTGCGCTGGAGCATCAACGGGACGGTGAGAGCCGGGCGGGGAGGGGCTGAATTTAGGCTGTGACCATCCCCGGGGTGCTGAGCCCTGCGCTGCTCCCCGCAGACCCACGAGTACGTGGAGAACCAGCACGTCGCCAGCAACCTGACGGTGCGCGTGAGCCACGAGCTGCTGCGCGCCGGGGCCATGTGCCGGGTGTCCAACGCGCTGGGGGTCAGCGAGAAGCACATCAAGCTGCTGGGTGAGCCCCCAACCCCCTTGCTGCTCCCCCTCCCCCAGATTGTCTGGGTTTTTGGGAGCCTGCCCCGCTGAGGAGAGGCTGGATGGAGGGCGCCGGGGTGGGCGGCGCGGTGAGCTCCCCGTGTCTGGCCCAGATGGGAAGACCTCGGAGAGCAAAGGGGTGATCATCGTGGCCATCATCGTCTGCATCCTGCTGGTGGCCGTGCTGGGCTCCGTCATCTATTTCCTGCACAAGAAAGGCAAAATCTCCTGTGGCCGAGCCGGCAAGCAGGACATGTAAGCACTGCCGCCGCCCCCGGGGAGCCCCCAGGGGCTGCCCGTTTCTCCTGCATCCCATTTCTGCATCCCATTTCTCCTGCTGCCCCTGCTCCTGCTTCCCATCCCATCACGCCAGCGGGAGGCACCCGGGGGCACGGGGTGGGGGTCTCGCTTCCAGCTTCCCCGCAGCCCCCGGGGTGCGCAGGGCTCAGCCCGTCCACGCAGGGAGGAGAGGAGCAGCCGAGGGACCCCTGGCAGGGAGAGCCCAGAGCTTCCCAGAGCCGAATCCTCAGCCCCTGGGCACCCTCTGCCCCCGAGCATCCCCCCGGGATGGAATCTGGGGGCTCGGCTGGCCCCGCTCCCCCCCCCCCAAAGCCAGGTGCCCTCTTGGGTGGCGCAAGCACGGTCTCAAAGCTGTCACCTCCCTCCCCTAGCACAAAGCCAGAGGCACGTAAAGACAAGAATGTAGTTGAAGTTAAGTCAGATAAACTCGCCGAAGAGGCCGGGCTCCTGCAGGGCGCCAACGGCGAGAGGGGACCCGCCGCCGACCAGGTAGGACCTGGTGGCCCCGCTGGCCACGGGGGCGTCGGGCAGGGCTGGGAGCGGAGCCGAGGAGCCCAGGGGGTGCCCGAGGTAACGCTTCTCTCCTCGCCCAGCGCTCCGCACCCTGCATGGGCACCCTAAAGCCATCGGCATCGCTCGGGGAGGGGGACGGGGAGGTGCCGAGGGGGGCAGAGCATCGCCGAGCCCCAGCTCCCGGTGCAATCCTTATTCTCCCCCCTAATTTTATTTTTTTCCCCCCCTTTTTTCTCTTCAAGAGCGAGAAATACATCGATCTGAGGAACTAACCAGGGGATCTCCCAAGTGCTTTCTCCCCTCGACCCTTCCCTGCTCTCCGATTGCCTTCTCCCACCCCTGCTCCAGCCCCCGGGGAGCGCGGCCGGCGGCGAAACCCCGCGGGGGCACCCCCGGGGACCCCCCCTCCGATACCTCAACCGCGGCTTGGCGGCTTGGCAGCGGCGGAGCTGGGCTTGCTTTCTGCTCCGGGGAAGCCGACAGCAATACTCGAACGAAATTCCCCCACTGAGCTGCCCGAGGGAAGGAGCCGAGGCTTCATTCAGGAAATTGCGCCGCGCGCGGCAAGGTTTTTTTTTTTTTGATGCCTTTTCTCCCCAAATTTGCTCAGCAAAGCTGGCGGGATTCTTCGCTTTTTCGCAGCAGGGCGGTGCTGGCACCTCAAGGGTTTGGGTTTTGGGGGGCTGAGGGGAGAAGCATTGGGGCTTTTGGGGTTTTCCCTCTGAGCCCCCCCCAACCTCGGTGCTGAGTCCCCGGGGTGCTGCGGGCAGGGAGCCCCCCGAGGGGCTGCGAGGGCAGGGCCGGGGCTCTCGGCTCCGTGGGGGCTGCAGGTTCTGAAATCCTCCGGATTGAAGGTTTGCTGCCGAGGGGGAGGACGAATTGAGTTGTTTTTAGGGAGGCCGCACAGCTGCTGGCACCGCTGGGCCGTGCGTAAACGTGAACCCGAGGAATGTCAGGTCAGGGCCAGCCGGCGATGTCTCAGGGTTGGATTTCTCTCTCTTTTTTCTTTTTTTTTTCTTTTTTTTTGCTAAACATTTATCAGCCCCAGGGGAAACTGGTTTATTTCTTGCTTCACTGACACCTCCTGCCCCCTCCGGGGAGGGAAAACCCCGGCCCCAGCCTTCCCCTGCTGCCCCCCAGCCCCTTTCCCCTTCGGCTCGGCCCCGCTCGTGAGCTGCGTGGTGGCAGCAGAAGCTTTGGGTTATACATATTTTTGTTGGGTTGTGTGTACATTTCCGGGAGTTTTGTCTGATATTTGCCAGTTTGTTTGTTTTTTTATATATATATATATGTGAAAATAAAGTACCGAGGTCAAAGGCTGGGCGTGAGGCTGGCGGCGACGCTTCGCTCCCTTCCCTTCCCCTTTCCCAGCCCCGGGACGGGTGCTAATCAGTGTTAATAGGCAATTAGTGGCAGCTAATGAGAGGTCCTGGTAGGAATTAACGGGATATTCCTGATAGGAATTAACAGGAAATCCTGGTAAAAATCCTAATAGATGATGGATCAGTGCCTACTAGGGATGCTAACAGGTAATTCCGTACAGGGCTGCTAATTAGAAATGGTGTTAATAGCTACCGGCCCCCAATAATTGATAACAGGCAGCTCTATTAATGAGGTTTCTAATTGATAACCCTATTAGATCGCAATACATCAGTGTAGTAGTGGTGACTGGATGCTAAAAGGGAGCGTGGTAATGGGATTTAACAGCCCCCGATAATCGAAGCTGTTGGGTAAGAAACCAAAAGAGATCATTTTATTGGTAATTATCGATCGTTTTATTGCTAATACCGAGGATCTGGGCTATTAAGGGATAATTCCCCTAAAGGAGCCTGAGGGCTTGTGGCTGGTGTTCATCCCTCAGCTTCTGCAGGTGGCGGTGGGGAATTCCTAGGGAGAGGTCCTGAGCCATTTTAATAGGGAATAACGGATAATAATAAATAAAAAATAAAAATAATAAAAAATAAATAATAATAATAAATAATAATAAAAAATAACAAATAGTTAGTGAGGAAGGGGGATGGGGACGTGACAGGGCTGTCCCCATACTGACCTGGGGGGAGGCCACTGGGGGGTAGCAGTGGATGGGGGATGGAGCCCCCCAATGGGGTTCCTGTGGCCATAAGGGTGGGGGGTCCGACTCGGACCATGGCACAGCCCCCATGGGACCCCCGTGGGGCTTTTGGGGTCGTTTCACTCACCTGGAGCCAGCAGAGACGGCCTCAAGTGCCTCCAGTACCGCCCAGTACAGCCAGTCCCAACTGGGAGCCAGTGCAGCCAACCCCAAGGAACCTGGCCTGGGGCACACCCTCGGAGTCCACTTGACCTCGATTGACCCCATGTCCTCGTTTGACCCCAATTAACCTCATTTGACCTCTCGAGCCATTGTCTTTTGAGTCCCCTTGACCTGAGATGACCCCCGTGTCCTCATTTGACCCCAATTAACCTCATTTGACCTCTGGAGCCGTTTTCTTGTGTCCACTTGTCCTCATTTGACCCCTGTGTCCTCAATTGACCCCGGTGTCCTCAGTTGACCCCAATTAACCTCATTTGACCTCTCGAGCCGCTTTCTTTCAAGTCCCCTTGACCTGAGATGACCCCCGTGTCCTCAATTGACCCCAGTGTCCTCATTTGACCCCAATTAACCTCATTTGACCTTTGGAGCCGTTTTCTTTTGAGTCCACTTGTCCTCATTTGACCCCTGTGTCCTCATTTGACCCCCCATGTCCTCAGTTGACCCCAATTAACCTCATTTGACCTCTGGGGCCATTTTCTTGTGAGTCCACTTGTCCTGAGATGACCCCTGTGTCCTCATTTGACCTCTCAACCCATATTCTTGAGTCCAGTTGACCTCAGATGACCCCCCCATGTCCTCACTTGACCCCAATTAACCTCGTTTGACCCTTGAGCCATCTTGCTTTGCACCCACTTGGCCTCAATCAACCCCCCAGACCCCTCCTGTCCTCCCCGTAGCCCCCTACATGCCCACGGACCCCATACATGCCCCATTATCCAGCATCAGCACCCACCCCCAGGCAGCCCCTGCCTGACCCCACAACCTCCATCAGCCCTAGGGCCCACGGTCAGGGCCAACGGGGGCCCCAAAACCCCCCTACAGGCTCCCAGCCCCAGCAGGGGTCATGGGGGGGGCTGAACGGGTCGTGTACCCATTAACAGGGCACTGGGGGTGTGTTATGGATGTGTAAGTAGCCTCGAACTCCTTATAGATCCCATATATAGAATGTCACGGGTTATTTTATTAATTATTTTCTATCTCCTTCTGTAAATGAGAGGCAGGAATTGTAAGGTGTTTGGAGCTGAGTTTGGGAGGGGCAGATGGAGGCTAACGGGCTCCTGCAGAGCAGGATTTGGGTTTTGGGACCTACCGGACACCCTATGGGCACTGCAGACCCAACTCGGGCCCCTGTTAATGTTTGGTACCAACCCTCTTAACGAGAGCCTCGTCATTTAATGGTTTCTTTGGGCTCGTGTCATCTCTTGGTTGGCTCCAGCAGCGTGTTGCACTCTTAAACCTTCCCCGCTCTCATTTTATGAGCATCCCTGACCTTAATTAGGACCAGGTAATTGTCTGGAAGCAGGTTCGGTGTCAGCGGGGTGTGTAAGGGACGCAGGGGACGGACCAAACGCCCCACGCCAGGCTCACAAAACCACCAGCAGGCAGCCGCTCTGCTACGACAAAGGGAATTTTATTGAAAAATAAAACTTTGTTTCGTTTTCTTTTTACTGACACAGGTGAAGGAAAATCCCAAAGAAGCTCTTAGTGGGCAGCATACAAGGATGGAAACAATTAATAAATAACATTAGTATAACCTCTAAACATTAACAATGCACTTGCAAACAAACCGAGGACTTTAAACCAAGTGAACCTTAAAGCTCAGCTACTCTCTGTAAGAATATTTACCTTCTGTTTTGCCTTATTCTTTACAGATCTGAAAGGATTAAATACTGCTATTATATTTTATATTAATGACACTATTATACTTTTTTTTTTTTTAAAATAGTTCGTGAAAATCTCCACATTTTTAACACTGACATCATACAAATTGGTGTTTGTCATTCGAGAGAAAGAACGACCGCTCCTCCCCCGCCAGAAATTCCCAAAAAAGATTTCCAGCAGGAGCTTTAAAAAAAAACAAAACCCCACGTGTCCTTTATTTATTCCCCAACTCACTTTTTTTAAACGCGGCACCTTCGGGAAAAGCGCCCTGGGAGTTGCATTTTTTCTTGCTCGACTGAAAAAAAAAATAATAAAATAATAAAATAATAATAATAATAATTAAAAAAAAAAATAAATTTACAGTGATGGCCCTGCCTCAAGGGTTAGCTACAGTGAGGAGATCAGCCTAGTGCAGGAGGCGACGTGTCCCCAAGGCAGGGCGCAGCGAGGGGCGTGCAGGGAAGCAAATCCGCAGCCAGCCTGCCCCTCGGGATATGTCTCGGCCGGGGTGGCTCCGGGCACCCTAAAACACCAAAACCCCAAAAGCGAGGTGGATGCCGGGTGCCCCAGCTCCTCCCCGAGGAAGGGTTTGCTGCTTGCTTCACGCCCTGGCATGGCAGGTGGGGAGAAAAAGGGCGGTTTTGGTAAAGAGCAGAGCTCGTTTTGTTCCAAGGAAAAGCAATCCTGTCCCGCAGCTCTCCCGTCCTTGGCACCAGCCCCGGCACCAGGCTGAGAAGGAAACATCGGCAGCTGAAATGCTGCAAAAAAAAACAACCAGGGACACAGCAGGAGTGAGAGCAGCCCGGCTCTCCGGCCCCTTCACCTTTCGGAGCTGGCTGCTCGGGCTCCTCTTTTTGGAGCAGGGCAGCCCGGCGAGGCAGCGCTCCCCTCGGAAAGGCACGAGACGTTTGGCTTCTGCTCTCCTGAAGTCGCGTTATCAAGCTACCTCCTTCAGAATAAAGAGCGAGGAGGCGAAGGGGGGGGGAAAGAAAAGAGAAAATCGCATCGGGCTCACCTTTCGGGAAGAAAAACAGGAAGGAAAATACGCTGTACAGGGCCTGGGCAGAGCCCGCTGCACGCCAGCGGGGCAAGCAAAACGCTCCCAGGTCGAGGAGGCAAAGCCAAGGCTTCAGCTGCTTAAATTAGTCTGAGAAACAGCGCACGGAAAGGACACATGCAGGGAAGTTAGTGAGTGATACATGCCACGAAAATCCCGCTCCCTCATCGCTGAGACCCACGGGGATGGCGCAGAGAGGGGACAGGGCATCGCTGCTGCGGGCTCCGGGGCTGTGCAGGACACGAGGTGAGGTTTTTGCTGCCGGATTTGGCTTTCCCACAGCCTTGGCAGCAGCAGCCCCGGTCTCACGCCACCCTTGAACTCACTCAGGCTGAGTTTACGCAGCAAAGGCGGCGCTGAAGCGGCTCCAAAAGCAACACGGGGCTGGTGGCAGCGCCGGGGAGAGCACGGAAGAGAGGGGAAGGGCCGGCAGGGCTCCGTCCCAAAACCTGCCTCGATGGATGGGCAGAAATCTCCCCAGCTCGCACGTTTCGGCCCCGGCCCTAAAATAGCAACAGCGAGAGCTGCACTTCAGGGATCCCCTTACAGCGTCAGAGAGCGTTTTGTTACGGACAGGAGGGGAGCGAGGGGCCAGCTCCTGCTTTTAAACTGCCTGGACCCCCCCTGCATCCATTTATAAAGCCCCCCCACTGCACACCCCACAAACATTGCAGGTTTCATTTCCTCGCCAACGCTTCCTCGCCAGCCGCGAGCGGCTTCCCCGAAATCTGGGCCCAGCTCCTGGTTTTTTTTTTTAAAGGGCTGAACTGCATCCAGCTGCCCCGAGCACGCCGGCAGCGTTTCAAGCTGCAAAGCTTCACCCAGGGACTGCTGCTGCTGCCCTTGGAGGGATGCAAATAATGCAGGACGTGCTCTGAAAGGCTGGCAGCCTCGCCGTGTACCCAGAGGGCTGGCTGTCCGTCTGTCAGGCTGGGAGCTGTGTGTCCCTGCCCGACTGCAAGGCTCCCCCAAAGGCACCACGCTGCTCTCCCGTCAAGCCTATTAGGAGGGGAGCTCGGGAGCTGCTCAGGTTTTGTGCGAGGAGCAGCTGAGCCCTGCCTCTCCGAGCACAAAGCGCCCCAGCTCCGCTCGGACACGAGCTCTGGGGACTCCTCGGAGAAACGGGAATGGAAAGAGGAGCCCCGCAGCGTGAGGGGACCACGAGGCTGTGACAGCCACCATGCAGTTCAGGCACAGCAAGCAGCGCGTTCGCGTTCAGCAGGTGCAGCATTCCGGGAGCAGGAGCGCACGGGAGCGGCCGGCAGGGCTGCCACCGAGCCCCAGCACCAAACGCTCGAGGCTAAAAAAAAAAAAATAAGAAAAGGAGAAGCAGCAGCCAGCTCTTCGCTCTCCCTCGGATTCTTCCCTCCCTCTCCCACCCCTCAAAGACACGCGGGGCTTGCAGCTCTTCTAGCGCCCTGGAATCCGAGGCTGCTGGGGAGAGGCCACGGCCGAGAGAAATCCAACGCCCGGCGCTGCCACGAGCAAAGCGCCCCGCAGAAGCCAGGCACGCCGGCTCCAGGAGCAAAGGGATGACCTAAATGGTGAGCAATAAATGCTGTCATTACAGGGAGGAGGGGGACGCCACAGCTAACGGGAAGCAATCAGAAGATTTCTCCCAAGGTCTCCTGCTTATTCCCAGCAGACCGCGACCGCTCGGCCGCTCCAAAAAGCCTGAGCAGCGAGCGGGTCCAAACCTAGTACCATGAACCACAGGACACACCACACTGACCCGGTTTCTCAGAGCATTCACTTGGAATTCACAGCACAAAACACTCCCCCCGGCCTCCAGGGCATCGGTTCTGGGGTCCCTCGTGGCACCGCCTCTCTCTACCAGCACCCCAAATCCGTTCTCTCAGCCAAGAGGCAGGGGGGAAAAGGACTCCAAGACACACACTGTATAAAAACACCGCTCCGCTTCCATTTCCTCCCACTGCTTTGAAATCTGGAACCACAAAAACCTGATAACTGATTCGGGAAGAGGCAGGGCTGAGCTCCGCACGCAGTCTCTAAAGGAACCCCCTTCCCCTCGGGTGCGCAGCCGCCCGGGCAGCCGGTCCGCAGAAGTTGCAGGCGTCGGAGGTGATGTGCTATGTGGCCACGTGAGCAGGGGAGGAGATGGAAACAAACTCCCGGAGAATATTCTTGGCCATTTCGATATTGTTATGTGCAATGAGCAGCGCTTTCTGGATGTCCTGATATGAGTAGCCCTGGTTCATGAGGTTCTCGATCTCGCTGGAGAGCTGCAGCGACGCGCTGCTCCCGCTGCTGGCTCCGCCCGGCTGGCAGCTCCCGGCTTTTCGCTCTGAATTTATTCTCCGTGGCAGCGGCTTGGGCGGCCTTTCGGGAACTTGAGAGCCATCCGAGAAACCTGGAAGGAGAAAGAAACGCGTCGCTTCAAGGAAAGGCAGGGACTCTTGCTCGGAAGCGAGCAGGACTGACATCAGACTGACGGCTGGCACTCGGCTGCGCCACCACGACCCGTGCCGCTATCTCGACTCAGCCCCATCCTCCCACAGCACGGTGCTGATTAGCACCTGCATGAAATGGAATGGCTTTGTCACAGCTCCTCCGCCACAAGCTCTCCAAAAACTGAATTATATCTCAGACCCGCACACGAGCTCCTGCGGGAGCCCACCCGAGCCTCCTGGGGAACAAGAAGAGCAGCCAAAAAAACCCAAGCAGGACACCAAACACCGCAGGGATTTAATTAGTGCCTTGTAGAGAAAATGCATTATTTACAGCATTAATCCAATCTCTGGTAATTTGGAGTCCTCACCTCCCATATCCCCGCAGAAAATGTTTTTCCCTACATTGCAAATGACAGGGAACTTTTCTGTGTGAATCTTTGACACCACCTTAAAGTGAGCCGCGTTTTTTGGCTAGAAAAACCTCCCCGAGGTACTCCAGGCAGAGTTTTCTAGCTGCCAAACCGGTGGTGTACAACACACACATCCTAGGAATGTCCAAACAATCCCTAAGACTGGCACCGCAGCCCCGTTCAGAACAGCAGCAGTCATCCTGGGGCCTTCCTGAAAAACTGCACCGAGAGCACGAAGCCGGGGAAGGCTCCTCAGGAACCAAATTCATGGAGGCTTCCTCAGCAGCCACAACGCAGCTTGTCTCCCCGATCGTCACAGAACAAGCTCCTGACACATAAAAAGCTTTTTGTACGTTTGAGAAAAAGGACTACCCACTCCTCACCCCCAAAGTGTCTTTTGAAATGGCTGCTTCAGCCTGAACCGGCTCAAATTTCAGAGACCACAGGTCAATTTGAAAGGGCAGCCGGCAGCTCAGCTCTTTTGGTAAATGATTAAGAAACTAAATTGTAGGGCAACATGCATGAGAACACAAATCTGCCCAAATGCATCCCTTCCTAGCCAGGCTTCGGCAGTGGCCAGTAGCCAATGTTTCAGAAAGCTGCAGCAGCTTCCCATGGCAGTAACAATCAGCATTTCAGCATTTCCTCAGCATTTCTCATTAGCAGATCTCCATCCCCTACAAAGCAGGACAAAAGCACTGTAATTTCAGGGTTGTATAAACAAAGAGGGGTCAATGATTAAGCCCCGTAGCTCATCTGGGAGCAGGATGTGAGCTCCCTCTGCCCTCCCTCAGCCCATATTCTACAGACACGGTCACAGAGCGAGGCAGGGAGGAGTGGCAAAAGCTAACAAATCTCTTTGAGCTGATAAATTCTCCTCTGAGCTGAAGAAGAGAGGACTTTGGAAAAGGGAACTGTGAAGCAGGTGAGCAGAAGACTCCGTGGGACAAGCAGGCCTGGGTGCAGGAGGCTCTGCCTGCTGCCAGCCTCCAGAAGGAACGAGAGACTCGCTCCTCTCGCTTGGCAAACGGCCGGAGGTTGCGACGTGCTGAATCCTAAAGCCCCCACCAGGAAGTTTCCGAGCTTCCTCTGGTGCCCCTGAACGGTTGTAGGGAAGAAGCCAAATGTTACTTGGAAAGGTTTTTGGAGAGATAAGGCTTTGGGATTCCCCTGGACAGCGTCAGGCAGCCAGAAGGACAAGATGTCCCCTGCTCCCCGGGGATGAAAAGCTGACCTTGCTGAGCCGCCGTGTCCTTGCTGAAGGAAACCCAAAGCACCACACGGGACACTTGTGCCATCTGCTGGCAACAGCTGCACCCAAGCCTCTGAGACAGAAAGAGAGCAAGGCCAGCCACCTCATCTTTAGCTTGAGCAGAGAGAAACTGCAATATTCTCAAGTTCTTTCTCATGGCACAAGCTATATCCTATGCCCCGTGTGATGTGATGCCTTAAGGAGTAACCTTAAAGCTGGGAAAAGGCTTTGCTAACTGTGATTTAAATGTGATGTACTAGCTCGGGGATTTAAGGGAGTAAGGAAAAAGCAAGCTGAACAAATAAGAATTGGTGTAACTCAGCCTTGCAAATCTGATTTTACAGCCTACCCACAAAATCCCGAGTCAGTGACACAAGTTTCAAGCCACCAGTGCACGCTACAGCACCCAGAGCACAGCTGTTCTCTAACCTGTTACAGGGTCGTTCTCCAAAGACATTCGGCTGAAGGCAGGCGTGGCATTGGAGATATCAGACAGTGTGCGACGAGCAATAGCAACTGGTAGTGGTGGTTTGGGGATATCGTAGCCATCTTCTTCATTTTCTGATTCTTCGGGGCCATTGCTGGCAGTGGCTGCAGCCAGATCCCCTTCATCTAGAGGAAGAGACACAGTCTGAGCTCTGGGCCTGAACAGAGATCCGTCTCTCCAGGCAGCCTCTGCTCCTCTGCAGTCCATAAAAGCACTGACAGGACACAGAACGAGGCTCTGCTGCCAAAACCCCACGTTCAATGGAAGCTCTTTCCAGAAAGTAGCGCTAGATAAAAATTTCTTACCATAGCTGTGGGCTGACAGCTGCTGCAGCTGCTTACAGCAGCGAAGCCCAGAAAACAAAATCTTCAAAACGGCAATTTTTTAAACAACTGTTGGGTATTTTTACAGCACATTCCAGCCAGGCTGCTCACCGACATCCCCACATGCAGCCTGCAGCGCGCAGACACAAATGCTTCCGCAGACATCCTAGCTACTTCACCAACCAAAGCAAGTGACATTTAATTTAGCCTAAAATGCTCTTCCAACTATCCCAGGTTTATTTGGTGACTTTTGTGTGTTTTTTTCTTAGCACACCCACTCACCAGAAGTGTTGACGGTCTCGAAAGCAGAGGGCACTGCTTGGGAGTGAATGTTGTACATCGCTTCGTACATGCAGCCATCCGCCTGCTGGTCGCACTCCAGGGCTCTGCAGGAGAGAGCACACATCTCCCTTCACACAGGCAGCAGTGGGCAGCCATCACCCAGCCCCTGTCACCGAGATTATCCACAGGTACCTGCTTCAAAATATTCTGCCATTGTTCTGAGAGAGAGCATTTGTTCCCCTAAGTGCTCTGGTGATGCCTGCTGCAAGACAGCAGCTCAGCACAGAAGGGTTTAGCTGACACCACCAGAAAACAATCTTTTCACAGGATTTTGCATTTCGGTGGCTGCTGCTGTTACCAGCAGAAGGAGGTGGAGGTTATCTAGCCCTTTAATACTGTGTAAGGATTTTGCAGCAGAGCAGTAGCCACGTTTCATTTGCAGTTTGCTGCGTTAGTCTAGATCTGGTGAGCATCACTGGGGGAATTCAGCCAACAGAGCAAGCGAAATCTCCACCCTGGTAAACAAATGTGCTTCCCCAGAGCTGTGAGGAAGAACAGTACATGCAAACAGCATCTCACCGCAAACTCTGAGTCATTTCCAAAGGCATCTTCATCTCTGGTTTTTGTACAGCAGGACCTGGAGGCACCACTGGCAGCGAGGAGGGGGACATGTATTCAGTGTCCTCATCGCTTTCAGACTGTTCCCCAGGAGGCAGTTTTGGTACAGGCAGTGGTCTGGAGGCAGAAGAAACAAGATATAAACACCAGAAAAACACTTACTGGAAATCTAATTAGCAGCAAAGTGGCCTTTCAAACCCCCAGCCGAGGTAGCAGTGCTATATTGATACTGCCCAGAGAAATAACCTGGCTTGTAGCTGCCCAGCTGCAAGGTCAAGCTGGCACAAGGTCATTACGAAGAGGCAGCTGACAGTATCACACACATCACCTGCTTCACAAGGCACATTTACAAAGACCAACTCAGAATTAAATTTACAGACGAGCTAAAGGTAACCGTAGTCTGATTCCTATCGCCACCATCCACAAATCTTCAGGCTGCTGATTTCATCTGCTTTCACCTAGGCTGTGTGCTTTGAATAAATAATCCATCAGAGACTGAAACTAAGGCTTGACAGAGCTATGCCAAATTCTGTCCCTGGCACCAGCACGCACAGAGACCTACAACGACCCTCCTAAAAAACAACGTACCTGGCAGCTAAGGAGTAGATAGCGTTGGCAGAGGAGGAGGGTTTAATTTTGGGGTGCTCACACTCTGAGGTTGCTGGTGGACCACTGTTCAAGCTCTGAAAGAAAAAAGGCCAAACAAGGAATTACAGACACCAGGTCGACCAGTGTAGTTGCAAAACTTGCTGGTCATCCACCTGGGGATGGATGTCAGCCAGTCATCAAATTCTTGGGAACAAAGCACCTTCATTTATTCAAAAGCATTTACTGACACCTTAGAAACCCACAAGTTTTGATACTTTTCCCTCACTGACAGCACAAGCACAGTTTTTCTCCTGTTGCCTACTGCCTGTTTACACAAGAGCCACAGGAACTCTTATCTTTCAGACTCTAATGACTTTGCGAAATTCAGCTGAAATTGGCCAAAAGGCCAAAATGTTAATAGGGAAAAGAGGAAAAGGATGCAGACAAGCATATATACAGAGACAGAATGACAACTGTAAAAGTGTCAATTCCTTAGACAATCTGGCTAAAAATGTACTCGCTTTCAATTTTCAAGAAAGCAGGAGGTTTTAAAAGGAAAAGGTAGGCAACAGGGATCAAGGGAAGCAAAACTGCCTGTGATTTCTCTTAGAGAACAGTATGTTGGACTACTAAGTTACGCCTAATTAATAGGAACAGCCACAAATTTAACTCAGATTTTACTGAGTTAAAGTAACCACCGTTTCTGTGCGCACATTTCACAGGACTGAATCCTGAGAGGAGGAAATTACACTTTTTCAGCAGACCAGCTCCTAACGCAAAACATTCTCGTTTTTTCAAAATTCAAAGGTGAACAGTGATCATAACATTGTGGCTCATGACTGCTCAAAGTCTTCCCATTACTCTCCCTTGTCCGGCATTCACCAGGTTCTCTTCATCTCTCCCTTGGCACAGGAAGGCCCTACTCAGATGCAGATGAGAACAGGGCACCTTGGAAGACCTAATTCCCTAAAACCAACCTTCACCCCCATTAGCTCTACTCACCACTTGGTTGTCCAGGCTGAGCGTGCTCCCAAGCCGATGGCTCTCAGCCCTGGAATCCATCTGAGAGGGCAAGGAGAAGGGAAGCGAGTGCCTGTTGGACAGTTCCCTCCCAGTCCAGTGGTCCCCGGGGCTGAGAGCTGCAGAGGGGGCTTTCGGGATCGGCCGGGAGGGCCACGGATCCCCTTGACGGGTGGAGGGCACGGGGGGTGGCTTGTCCCTGGAAGGACAGTCCCCTGGTGTGCAGGGCAGGGGCCGTCTCTGAGGTCGAGTTTCGGTCCCGATGGAGTGGGGTCTGTCCGGAGGCGGTGGCGGCGGCAGGTCGCGGAGCGTGGGTGGGATGGGCAGAGGCTTGTCCTTGTGGAGGGTGCCAGGAGCAGCCTGGGAAGCAGAAGAATGCAAAAACACGGCTTAACAAAAAGGAGTCCGGCCACGGAACACAGAAAGGTGGGAGGTGGGTGGCAGGAGGGCGAGGTCTGTTTTTGTTTCATCTGTTTTTTCACTAGAAATTATCTCAACGGATGTGGAGCGATGCCAAGTTAGCTCTCCAGGGACACCTTCCCTACAAGCTTGTGGAGACAACACAGTAATTACACGCAGCTACAGCTAGGCACTAAGCACTTCTGATTGTCCTTCTTGAATTAAAGAAAAAAAAAACACAAAACAACTCAGAGCATCATTGGATTGGATTCCACATAAAGGAAACTCATCGTTTCAAAAAGCTTCAACTGCGCGTCATTTACACGAGTTATTCATCAGTCAGCAAGTCAGAGAACTCGCTATTTTGCCTTCAGGGATGTCACACAGAACGCAGAGGATTTACCCAAGCACTCTCCTCCCACCTGCCCCACCATCTGGCAGGGCAAGGAGCGTGTTTTACCTTTGAGGAGGTCCCAGGGCTGGAAGCCCCAGGAGGGTTGGACACTCGCTGCTGCAGAAGATCCAGTCGAGGTGGCACGGGAGGGAGGGTGGCCTGCGGGGCTACCGAGAAGGGAGAGGGAGGACGCTCAACCTGAAAAAAAAAGACCAAGAAAATCAACGGATGACAAAATCCAGCAGAACTCCTCTTCCTTGGAGAGGCTTTCAAGTTCAGGGAGTTGTGCTGGCTCCAGTATCACTGCTGGTAACAAATGAGTGTACCGATGCCAACCCCACACCAGCAATCCAAGGTAATTTCACAGCACAGCTGCATTTGTCTTGCAGCAAGCCTTGAGCATCACTAACTGGCTTAACCGTGGCACAAAACCACAACTGCACACTTAGTGGCACAATAAAGGACAAGCTGTTTTGCTGGAGTAACAAACCCGCCTTGCCGTGCCCAGAGCAGCAGCAAGCTGCCTTTCTTTTCGACACGAGAGGGCGTGATCTGCTGCAAATCCTACTCACCACTGCAGGCACCGCTGTGCAGAGTACCTTGACTGGTGTCATGGCTGTTGCAGCAATCATCAGTGTGCAGCAAAACCTCCATTTTTGTCCCTCTTTTTCTACCTAGCAGAACCGTGCCTCTTCTCCTTCTTATCAAGCTTGTTTCACAAGAAAGGGGAGCACTACGTAACTCTGAAAACCTCTGCACAGGTTTGAACTCACTGATTGCCAGCAAATACTGCGTGCTAGCCCACTGCAAACCACAACAGGATGTCACAGCGAGGAAGCTGTGCTTTGCTTCCCCAAGTTATGTACACAAAAATAATCCCCAGGACTCCAGCTTACAGTATTTCACAGGGTGGAAGCTAAAGAGAAATCTGACCATAGGGTAACCAGCGCAGAGCATTCCTTGTGGCCAGAAAAAGCAGCCTATTTAGAAAAAAAATGTGCAGGGAGGCTTAAAGAATGCCTGTCATGAATGGCAGCGAGTTATCAGACCTTTATTTATCAGACAAACTGACTCGCTCAGCAAAATACCCTGCCCTCTACCCAGTTACTCACCAGGACCTTGGGAAGGCTGTACCTGGTTGGCTGCGTTCATCGCTGGGGAAAATGGATGAGCTTTTGCTAATATGGGTGAAGTATGGCTAATAAGTGAAAAGCAGCACTGCTAAGCACGCAGAGAAGTGTTACAGACCCAGACCTCACATTTCAATAGACCCAGGCAGCCTTTTCAACCTTCTAAGGGCTGACAAGCACCCAATCTTTCAAGGCAACATACAACTGATCAAAGTGTGCTCGCTCCTGCTTCACAGAACAGTGTGAGCTGCACTGACAGCACCCAACCTGAATCCCTATTTACTTCACCCTCCTCATATTGATTAAAATCCCTCCTGTTTTAAGGTCTGACAACGCTTGTGTGCACAAAGCACCAAGACCACATCCTCTCTGATGGAGAACACGCGGTCTCTGTACACACTGCCACATCTAGCACACCACCAGGAGCCCTTCCCTTACTTTGGTACCAGCGAGTTCTTTCATCATGAAGAGGGAATCATCGGCTCTGTCGTCGTCGTCATCATCATAGTTGGGTGAGGGAGTTCCTTCTGCCCCTTGCCGTGACAATCCTCCTCCTCCTCTGGGGTCAAACGGGTCTACTACAATCGGTTCCGTGCCTTTGATTTCACAGCGGCAAAAAGGGCAGCCCTGGCCTTCTGATTCCTTCAGGGAAGAGGAGAGAGCTGTTACAACCACCCCTGAGATGCAGAGATTAAATACACTGACTTCCATACCTGAAGGAAACTCAACAGTTTGGGGAAGAGGAGATACTGCTTCTGTAAAAAAGCAACTAGCCTCACTCAGATAAACAAGAGCCAACGCCTCACCTGCCACGCAGTCAGACAGGACGTGCACATCAGGTGGCCGCACGGTTCGATCTTCACGTCCTTGTCGTTTTCAGCACAGATTTTGCACAGCTGGAACGTGGAGCCCATCTCGCAGTACAATTCATATTGTTCCTTGGAGAAAGACAGACAGACATTGCTGATACTGCACAACGACGTGCAAGAGTTATCACAGCTACAAGAAATCCAACAGAAGACGTGCAGGACAAAGTGAATTCCCAACACAAGAACAAACTGCAAAAGAGAACAGAAATCTGCAAAAACTTCACTGGGATTTTATGTGCTGGATATATCCATCAAGCTCTGAAAAAAACGGGCTTCAACTTATACCAGATTTTTGTTTAGGTTTCCCAAGAACAGCCTGGGAACTCAGGGTTCAAGGGCACAGCCACGATGAAGAGCACAGAATAAGGAATATTTTGCAGAACAAGGAGCGTGACAGAATGGGATAGAAGGCTTTGCTCACCTGTGTAACTTTAATGTGGTCCTGAGGTGTGGGCTCACACAAGCCAGTCAAGTCAGGATTCTGATTCCGGCCATCGGGAAATAAATAACTGTAAGCAGGAAATAAGAATGAGGGTGAGAACCAAGAGGAGGAAATTCAGGATACTTCTGAATTTCTAAGTAAGTTTTGGATGAATATTCCTACCAGGCAAAACCCAAACATGCCATTCTTTAAAATAAAAGGAAACTCGTTTTCCTTCCTGGGAGCAATTGTCATTTTAAACACGAGGTTACGGTCCTAGTTTACGATTCTTAAATCATCCTGCAGTGAAACTGTCACAGCCAGTGTAAGAAAACTGAGCCTGTAATAGCAGCTGTGGTAGCACAGGTTAAGGAACCCACTGCAGAAGAATGTATGACAAGGGAAAGGCAGGCACACACTCATCGTCTGCTGCTGCAAAGGACAATGCAGATCTCCAGTGCAAATGATAGCTGAGTACTCTCGAGTGCCAGAGCAGTTAAGCATATGAATTATTCCACTGACATCAATGGGACTATTCACTTGCTTCAAGTGTTTTGCTGAATCAAGGTCTAAATAAAAAGGAAGAGCTGAGAGATGTCCAAAAGGGGGCTCGGTGATGTCAACAGTGATTGCTTGACCTCTGCAACACGCTGCCTCTCCTGAGGACACAACGTGTGATGAGCTTCAGCGGGCGCATTTTACCATTCAACTGACTTCCAGGCCTTACCACAGCGTTAAGATGGATAATTCACAGGAAAAAAACACCCAAAGGACAAAAACTTGTTATTGATAAGCTACTTACAAGCCTTCCCTGAAGCCATCGATCAGTGCTTGAAAAAGGGGTTTGTTGTGGGGGATTGTCTGAAGGATGTTCCCATCTGCAGTGACGTAGCCAATGGCCCACTGACCAAGTCGTGTGCAGCTCAGCCGGAAAATGTAACTGAAAACACAGAGGAGAAATTCCAGTTCAGCCTGGAACGGGCAGAAACGACTCGATGTCAAGTAGGCAGCCTTTGTCTGGTTATCTTAGGACATCAAAAAACCAGGAGGAAGAGCTGGACGATTTACACCAGCTTTTCTCACTCTACCCCCAGGCAGACCAAAGGAGAACTTTGCAATCTGACACCAAGAGAGAAAAGCACCCAAGCACCTGGCGCAGTGTGAAATGAAACCCAGGGTCCGCAGCAAGAGAACTCAGCATCCTCATAATCATTTCTTTCAAATTAACTTAAGAAAAAAACAACAGACCACACAAGGTTTCCATTTTTAAAAGCAGCAAGGAACTAGAGGTGTACTCTTGTGCACCCCTCGTTCAGGGTCCTGGCCAGCCCCCAGGTTAGGCTCGATCTGGCAGCGCCTGCCTCTGCCTCCTGCTCCAGCCCAAGGCAGCAGCTGGGACATTTGTGAGGTGGGCCAGGGTGTGTTCAGAATCTCTGAACACACCACAAGCTGGAGTTTTCCTCGGTTAAAATTTCTGAGGAAGGAGGACAAAGACAAACCCAAGCCCAATCTCCTCCGCCAGTGAGTAATCCGCGACGTTATCGGGAGCCATCAAAAGGGCCACTGCTGCCAAGCACCAACCTGCCAGGTTTGTGAATGAATTTCTGAAGCCGGGCTTTCACCTCATCATAGGTTAGGAATGCCATATAACCAGGGTGAGTCACCGCGAGGCTATTCCAGTTCCTGAGCAAAGAGGACCATGGCTGTAGAGAGAACAAAGAAATGTATTAGCCACACGCTTCTAGGAGGCAGCAACACACGCGATATTCCTTAAAAAAAGGGGTCAGTTAAAGCATCAGGTTTCTTATCCCACCGTAAATCCTGTAGAGGAACTAGAACCCATGTTTTCCTTCACCAGCCTTAATGTTTGAAATTCTCTCATCAGCGATAAAAATATCACCGAGGACAGAAGTTAACCAAAATTCCTTTAAAAAACGCCACGGGAGAGGTCACTGAGGTCACAAAAAGACAGCTCAAGAAGAGCTACCAATACGTGCTGCTTCTGCAGAGAAAATTACTCATCCCTGAGACAGTGATGGAGACAGGAATCGCCTAAGATTATGCACAGGACCAGAAACCATGACTAGTCGGATGCCTAACAAAAGCTTCCTACATGGCCTCAGGAAAGTGATGTCCCCTCTCCGTCTCAGTTTCACCGTGTTAAGATGCTTGTGACTACTCCTCAGCCACCTAACCTCACCTGGGTGTGGCAAGGACTGCTGCTTAGGCTGAGCTTTGAGTAAATAAAGCAGTACATGCAAGTTAAATTTTCCCAAAAACGATGCCTGAAAAGTCACAACAACAGTTGGAAAGCTTTCGATTCGGAGAAGTGTTTGTGTGTCTGAATTTCACTCAGTTTTTCCAAATTTCTCAACTTGCCTAAGGTGCTAGCTCTCCCCAGGAAGCTTGTATCTCTCGGAAATCACAGCGGCTCTTAACTCGCTCTTTATGTACCATAGCTGGAAAAAGTGCTGAATGAGATCAGATGCATTGCAACACCGAACATGGGAATTTTTCATCTAGACATATCTTAATTACAACCCACCCTATCACATGGGAAAAGGCAAGCCGGAGCCAAAGAAGTAAGTGTTTGTTCTTGTAAATACCCAGTTGCACCATCAAAAGCTGCATTTTAGAGCTCAGAACTATTACAGACCATGGGTTACAGTTGTACCTACTATTAATATCCCCGCAGTAACACAAACACTTCTTGCACGCAGAGCACAAAATGCGTCTGCGACATCCTGGCTGTGTCAGTTCAGAAGGGAGGAAGCACAAATTTCCATGCTCCTCGTGCTCCATCCTGAACATCCCCCCAAGGAAAAGCAATCTAACACGAAAGAAAAGGGCGCGAGGAAAGGCAGACTGATAAACTCAGCTTCGCACTTCCTGGCTTACAGCAGTTGTGTCAGGACTTCAGACTAAAAGTGACCTTTGAAAAGGAAAAAGTGATTCACGGGAGGATGCTGGATGTGCCTTGCATGCGGTTGCAATTTATATTTAGACGTTTTCTTCTTCAACCAGAATTATCAAACACTTTTAGTGGTTCTAACTATTACCAAAACTGGCCAGAGGATGAAGGGTAAGACGACCAAGTCCTTTACAACATAAATAATGGCATTTTAACGTGCAAAATATGGTTCATCTCGGGAAAAGAGTCTGATTTCAAGTGATTCGCACTCCTCAGTCCTTACCTGAAACAGCCGCGTGAAGATATCGAACTCGAACACTGAGATGTAGTCATTGCACGTCAAGTCAATCGTGGACTTCAGGGCCATGGCTTCCAGCCCCGAGCTGATCGGGTGCACCTCGTGCAGGGCTTGACGGAAACTCTTCCAGGGAACGATAGTCCTGGGGAAAAGCAAGCCAGCTGTAAACGCTGTGTGTCTGAGGACCACCACGTACCCACCTCGTGAGCTTTATTTGTGAGCAGACGCCTCACGGTAACAGAAGAGAGGAAAAACAAAATCAGCCCCAAGAGATTTACTCACGTAATGTGAGCAAAAGGCTTCTTGGCACTGAGGGAAATGAACAGCCCAGCACACGTTAGCCAACTTTCTCTGCGTATACACGGTGCTGGGAGCTGACGTCCCTCCCTGCTTTCTCCTTCCCCTTTTTCTGCAGTGCTATCACGTCAGTGTTTTTATAAACCACGGGCTGTACGCAGCACTACCACTTGGTAGAAGAGACGTTTCAACAGTCTGCACCTACATACGCGTTGCTCTCAACTTTCTCCTTCGTTCTACCTTACCAGAGCCATTATGCAAACGGACAAAAGGTCAGAGGAACCTGAAGAAAGGTGACGAAGTGATTGGAAAGACTAATCGGAGGGAAGATGGAAAGAATTTAATTGAGTGGCTGAGCGAAAGGACAGCTAATACTGGGGGCACGGCAGCCTTCGGAAGAAGAAAGCAGATTATTTTGCATAGTTCGTGGAGCTCCCTTAGAAGTTAAGGAATTAAATTAAGGACAGGAACATTTAGGCTTAATAATCTTAGGGAACCTCGTGACAGTACCACAGGCTCCTAGGACGGATCACTTTGCACATTTAAAACAAGACAGGACAAAGAAGTGGCAAACAGAAAGCAGGAACAATCCTGTACCCCACCCGAGTGAGGGGACCGAATGACCTCATGGGTCTCTCCTGGCATTAATTTCTCTGATTAACCTCAATAACGATTCTTCTGAGTCACCAACCACCACTTTTAGAGGTGTTACACCCGGAACGTCGAGCACAGCCGGAGACTTACTTCTCCCCAAAAGCTTTCCTCCAAAACTCGGCAGCGTCTGCCTTGGTGATCCGGAACGTGTCCCCTTGGAAGAGGCCGCTGGGGAAAATCCCTTTGAGCTCTGCCAGCATGTGGCTGAATATCAGGGACAACTTGGTCAGGTTACGCCTGCAAAGGATCACAGAAAGAGAAGTTTTTTTTAGAAAAGTGACCAAAACAGGCAGAAAACAGCACCCACTGCATCTCCAGAAGCAGCTCAGCCCCAAAACCCCTACCCGGGACTGCTTTTCAGGTGTGCACCCAGCACCCAGCATGCCATCCAGCACACGGAGCTGATCAGCAAGGGTGGCGTTTTTTAGGGCATTTTCCACCACGGCTGCCTCGCAGGACCTCTTTGAGGCAGCCAGGTTATTTCCAAGGCAAATTCCCCCCCGTGATGTGAAACAAAACTCAGAGAAAAGGGAAGGTCGCAACACTTGGGGTTTCCTTCCGAATGGGTAATGACCCTCCCCCAAAAGCTGGAGGGTCAGGGTGCTGAGCCCAGGGGTGTTAGCAGCTCAAATCAGCCCTCAGCACCCCCAGCCCCTCATCCCGATGAGATCCACGTGCCAGGAGGGCTGTGCCCCGTGGGGACGGGTCCTTCCCTGCGCTGCGCCCCTCTCTTTCACCAGTTCCTCCTGTTCTGCTTGGAGCAGCCCCAAATTGCTTCATCTTGGGCATTTTTCAATCCTCCTTGTGCCAGACACGCCGTCCCAGCTGCAACACCTATCCCACAACCTGCTCCTGGCCTTTCTGCAGCTATTTCCCCCAGACACCTGGGCTCGGGTCCCCCAGCTCCATGCCACGCTTCCACGAAACCTAAACCCACCCGGAGGCGACTTTGCTCGCTGTGATATGCGACCATGCACTGCGAGCCCTTTTTCCATGCTTTGACCCAGTCCACTTAGCCCAGAGGAGGCTTTCCAGTGCCCTATAAAAGGCACACGGGACTCAGAAGCATAAATCACCTCTGCCAGCAGCTTCCCTCTCTCCCCCTCACTTATTCCAGCACGCTTTGTGCTGTGGCTCAGCACCGAGAGCTGCTCGGTGCTTCGCAGAAGGTGCCAGCTTCCCAGCGAGGGATCCTGCTTTGTGTTACCTCCCACGTGCCCAACGCCAGCAGATGCCGAAAATGACCCCGAGTGAAAGCATGAAACCAGCCGGCCGCTCTCCTGGAGGCTGCTCCACTCGGCAGCTCTCCCACGGACACACGACGTGTTGGAAAGCAGCCACAGGATTTGGGCGTTTGGCTCCAACACCCCCAAAAAGCTTCCTCTGTTGCTCACCAGTCTGTGTTAGGTAACAGGAGAGGGGTTGTTGGGGAGCCCTGGTGCACCTCAGCTCCAGCCCTGCTTTATCAGCCTGTCCTATGGATCGACACTGTAATCCCTCACCTGCCCTTAAAGGAACTTTATTTAAACACAAATCAAAGCACCAGATAAGGTCCCGCGTGTAGGAAACACCACGCAAGCCAAGGAGCTGGATGAGGACAGCGAGGTGCCAGCTCCCCACGTGAACACAGCTGCACCCGAGCTGCTCCCTGAGCGGGGAACCCAGCCACACAGCACCCCACAGCGCTGCAGGGCTGAGAAACTCCAGGTTTCGTATTCCTCTTCCCAGCAGCAATCCCCACGGAGGCTCAGGTGAGGAGGCACAGCCCCAGCTGATCCCTTGGAGATGATTTAATGGTGAGCTCGCAGCCCAGCACGGCCCAGAGAGAAGCCCAGGGGTTGGGGTCCCATTTGTTGGGTTCCCCTTCTGTCCCCACAGCGCATTTGGCTAACAAAAACCAGAAAAATTGCAAAGCAGAGGTCCCAGCTGTACAGCCCGCTCCCCCAGCCCTCTTCTGAAAGCTCTCACTTGGAGAAAAGGACAGAGAAGAGGACAGGTTGTGGCCGTGGGGGGAGGAAAAGCCGACAGCAGGCTGGTTGGAGTCATTTAATGCATTCACAACTCAGGCAGCAAGAGGGAGGGAAGCTGGTTTTACTCAGTTTATGAAAGGGGAGGCTTGAGCTAACAGCAAAAATGACTTCCCAACACTAACACTGAAGCAATTTGCAAGGATTAAGCTCTGAACCATCTCCGTGCAGGGTTGGTGAGCAGTGTGTGTGCAGCCTCAGCCAGGGGCTGTGCCAAGCACCAAACCTGGGCTAAGAGAATATTTCAACAAGTGCACTCCTTTATTTTAACGAGCCACGTTACACGTTTGTTAACGAAGACAGTCCAAGTAAGCGCTGGCAATTACAGTGACATTTACAGGCTGCACTGACAGACACCCGTGGTTATTGGCACATCAGTCACGACGATGCTGTTGTGTGCTCAGCACCACCAGCAGCTGTCCTCACCTCGTTGCTCCAGCATGCAGAAACAAGCATTTTCCAGAAAATATGGCAATATTTTCAAAGAATGGCTCAATGACCAGAGCTTCCCAAGTGTTTTGAGCCAGCAGCAGCCCTCTGTTTCTTACAGACTCGCTGCCCCCTTGGCAAACTTGGAGCTGAACAAGCAGGAGCACAAATCCCACCAGTACTGGTGCCCAGAGCTGAGCCGCAGGCTGGGAATCCCTGCCCTGGGCACCTGAATCCCCCTGGCAGTGGGTGGGATTCAAACACCCAGCAGCCAAGCGTTTTTGGCACCGTTCAAACATCCCAGGGACCACAAGCCACAGCAGTTGCTCCCCTCGCTGCTTGCGAATAAGCCGGAGGCAGCACCTGCAGCAGCTTCAAAGGACAGGCGGCGTGTTTTGGGGTTGGGCTTCGGGCTGGTGACAGAGCAGCAGCCACGGTTTGGGTGGGATTTCCTACGCTCCCCCGAGAGCCGTTTCACACACACGCAAAGCTCTCAGCACCTCGTCAGGTACTGAACCAACCACACACCATGAGGGGAAGCTCAGAAAGCCAACCGTTTTTCCACTCCGTGCAGTCACAGCTGCCCCCAACACCGTGCTGCCTTGACACCGGTCTCGAGGCTGTGTCTTTAGGTGCCCGGCGCTTCTTCATCAGCTCCCCAGGCTGCACAGATGCATTCCTCAGCTCTCCATCCTCCCTCTGCTGCTGTGGTTGTGGTGTTCTGTTCCTGGCCAGCTGTGCTCCATGCATCTTGGTGAAGGCAGGAGCCAGCTGGGTGCTTCCAGCACTTGCCCCTCCTCATTGCTGCTCCTCCCCGAGCTGATTTTTCTTTTCCTATTTCCTGGACAAAAGCTTTGCTCTACGTACGGGCTCAGTCCTGCAAAGCCACTAGTGGCAGAGGACGGCTTGAATCACAGCGTTGGCACCTCCAGCAGCGAGGCCATTAGTTAAACGGCTTCAAGTGACCAAGTCACCCAACTGCAGCAGGACTCCAACACCATCCTTACCTCGAGGCCACGGGAAGCCAGCACTGCCACTTGTGCCACCACCAGCCACAGCTTTTGTTTCCTTCCAGCATCTCTCAACTCCTCCCCAGGGCTCTTCACACGCAGCGAGGAGGAGACCACTCCAACCGGGCGATGGATGGGCACAGCACCGTGCCATGTGCCGCGATTTGGCACACACCCTGCGGCTGTGAAGCTGTTTCACTGAAAGCAGGCTACAAACAGCGCTGTACAGAAGGAACGAGGAGCTGCAACAAGACAGCCAACTACAAAATGCTTCATTGTTTTTGAAGTTGTAGTGCACACTCCTTATTCAAGAGCAGGTTGGCAAATTGATTGTGTATTTGCGCTCCTGCTGGCTTCAGTCAAACCTGTGAACACGGGGGCTGCACTAAGAACATTCAGCAACCCTAGGGATCGGCTGCTGGCAGCAGATTCTTCAAGGGAAGCTAGGACTTGAACTCAGCCACACCTCCATGGCCCTGAAACAAATAACATCGCTCAGCTGCCTTGGTTAAAACCCAAATGCCCCATTCCATACAACGGAGTTAATGTACAAGTCAATTATGAGAACTAAGAGGGTACAAAACTCAAATCAGAGCACCTGAGTTACTGTAAAACCATCCTACTCAAAACCTAAGTGAAGGCTCTTCACATGTAAGCTTGGCTGCTTCAGAAGGGCACGACCCAAAGTTGATCTCACAGCAAGAAATGCAATCTCAGCGCACGGAAAAATGACTACAAGCATTTCTTCAAAAAATGCAAAGCACGCTCATTCAGTCTCATGGAAAATTAAGGAAAAAAAAAAAAAGCATTCGAGAGGATGTGGGAGGATCTGAGAACTTCACACTAACTCATTGACTCCAAGTCAGGGCTCCTAAAAGCGATGATGACGCAGTTTCTAATTGTTTTTGTTTTCGCAGAATTAAGACCTGCACCTTGGACAACTCTGCTGCACCACTTCCTTTCCCCAGAAACGCTACGTTTAGATGGTAAAAGGAGGACAGCTGAGTGCCTTGGAAGTGAGACGATTACTCAGACTGAGGTAAACCACTCCGATCGCTGTACTATTCCTTGCTACTGCTGAAAATTTCTATTTTTTCCCTCCAAAAAAAGTCAGAATCCAAAACTTCTTGCAGCCTCATGGCCCAGTAGCACCCCACGCTGAGCTGCAAACACATGGTAATTATTTCAATAGCAGAGCAATTAATGCCTGCTTCTCTCTAAATCCCACATCAACAACACTATTGATGGATACAACCTCCTTCAGGACCTGGACATTCTTCTCAATATGAGATCATATTAAGTCTCCTAGAGGCAAAAAAAACCAACAGGTTATTTATGTTATTTTACAGGTGAGGCAGCTGAAGCACGGACAGTGCTGGAAACCAGAATTACAGCCGGGGAATTTCTAATCCCCTATCGTGTGCTCAGCACTGCAGAACGCCATCCACTAAGTACTACTGCAAGACTTCAGAGGAGAGGGTAGGGAACTTTATTTCCTCCCACTTCTGGGGTTATCCTGTAATTAATTGCACAGTTACCAGACGACATTTAGGAGACAGGCTCAGTACCATACAAGTATCTGGAAGTATACGCTCCTGACCTTAATAATTTGAAGCAAACAAAAAACCACAGCTTTTGGGTTCTGCAAACAGCCGGTATTTTTTTCCTGCAACCACCTTCCATATTTGAGTTCAAAAAAGTCGGCTTTTTTAACAAGCCCCCAACAAGTAAAAGGCACGTTTCAGAAACCACAAAGGCAGGAGGTTATCAC